CCCCCTTCCCTCCTCCTCTCTCTCTCTCTCCCCCCACCTCCCCTCCCCACCGGGTAGAAGGCAACGAAAAACCTCGATAAGTGAGAAGCAACAGCTGCAGTGATTTCCTTTCCGCGTCTCTCTTGTGCTGTACTCCTTTCCTGCGCTCGGACTGTACCTACCTCTTCAAGGAAGAGATTCACCTGCAATTGTACCAACAAGGTTTGTTTTCACTTATTTATTTCTTTATTACTTTACGTATTCTGTACAGATATAGTCAAGTATCCCATAGCTTTTACGTGAAGGTGCTACTCCGCCTAGCTGCCTTCTTTTCTTTTGTGTTTCCGTTCCTCTCTTGCATCTCCACCGCTGCGTTGTTGCAGTCGCTCGCCACATCTCACTGGGGTTTTGATTCGGTGAGCCGTCTCTTTTCTTGTTCTCTTGTTTTTGTTTTGGTTTCTGTGCTACTTGTCTTCTGACTGTGAGCGAGTCTGTGTGTGTGTGTGCGCACGTGTGTGTCTACCTCACTGTACACCACTGCCCATCGCGATGTTTTACTCTTCTACCCCGCCGCTTGACGGCACCACACCCGAGACCGGCCCCAACAGCTTCCCCACCGGCTTCGACTTTGCGAACCAGTTTCACCACTCCAAGAGCACCGTGATGGCGTCGCCGAACACGGACTCCCTGGAGGGCGACCTTTCCACCTCCAGCGGCGGCGTACTGCGCGAGTCGCTCCCCCAGTCGTACCTCTCCCCGTCCTCGGTGCAGGTGATGAACCTGCACGGCTCGAACATAACTCGCCGCCTCAGCACCGACGCGCGCAACGCTGCAGCGGGCGGGGCAAACAACACCAGCGGCAACAGCCACCCCCACCAACTCAACAGCCACCACAATAACAGCTCCTCCATCAACAACAGCAGCATCAACAACTTCGGCGAGGGCAGCCCGCTCTTCCATTTTGTGCCCACCGCAACGGCACTGGACGATGCTGAGGATGCCGAGGAGGACAAGCAACTGCTCGACTACGCGGGCTTGGAGTCGCTGCTGATGGCGGCGGTGGGCGACGGCAGCAGTGGCCTCACGCCGATGTCGCAGTCGAGGAACTCCGCCACTGCCGCTTCCGCTGCTGCGGCGCTTTCGGCACTTTATGATGTGGCACCGCAGACGACCATGCCGCTTGCTGTCTCTTCCACTGCGAATCACGCGCAGATGGAGCGCAGCACCGGCAGCGTCTCACCCGTCCCCTCGCGAGGCTCCAACTCTGTTCCTCTGAGTGGCAGCAGCCCTAACATGTACAGCGCAGAGAGCGCGTTCCTCTACTCGAACTTTGACCCGGAGCTGATCAACAGCAGACTGCCGCCGCCGCAGATGATGAAGGCAAATGAGGACAACGCCAACGTGATGGGCTCCACTTCGCCGCAGATGATGACCATGGCGCCCGTGCGCGGCGTGGCGGACTTCTACCCCCTTCATCCTGGCAGCGCGATCATGAACACCAGCGGCAACGCCTCGCACTCCGCCGCTTCCACGACGGGCGGTAACATGTCCTTCACCTCGCAGCCGCCGACGAGTGATTCAGAGGTGCGCAGCAACCTCTTCGTCTGTGGCCTCCCCATGACCGTGACGGACAAGGATTTGCTGGATGTGTTTGGCAAGTACGGTCCGATCGAATCCGCCAAGGTGATGCTGGACATCCACACAGGCCGCAGTCGCGGCATCGCTTTTGTCAAGTTCACCGACGTCGAGCACGCTGAGAACGCGATCGACACCCTGAACGGCATGCCGATGAACGGGCACCCCATCACGGTGCGCGTCGCTAACTCGCGTGCGGCCTTCTTGCCGGGCAACCCAACAAACAAGACCTTCGTGCGCAACGTCCCACTGGCGGTGTCGCGCTCTACGCTTATGGAGTACTTCTCGAAGTTTGGCGAGGTGACGGATCTGTCGATCAAGTCGGACACCGCGCAGGGCCGTCACCACCACGGCGGCGGCAGCCGCACGAGCAGCGCGCCGGTCGACGCCGCGGAGGAGAAGCTAAATATCGTCTTCATCACCTACTCCACCAAGGAGGCCGCCGCGCGGGCTGCTGAGGCGACCCACACAAAGGCGCCCTTCAAGGAGTGCAACGGCGTGCCGCTGCTGGCGAAGGTGGCCGAGGACACGACACGTCGCATGGAACGGCTGTCTCGCCGTGTGCGGACCGTCTCTGGTATGGACAGCAAGGAGGTGAGCACCACGGGGTCCACCGCGGCCATGTCGCTGAGCTACGCCAGTCTGTCCGGGCTGCAGCCGGGGATGATGGTGGTCCCGGTGACTACCGCGGCGGCGGCGGCGACGTGCAATGGCTGTGGCACTGGTGGTGGTGGTAATGGGCTGTCGGGGGCGACGTACGTCACGGTGCCCAGCGTCACCGGTGCGGACCTGACGGCGCTGACGATGGTGCAGACAAATGGGCTGCCGCAGCCCACCCAGCAGCCCGCGCCGCCGCAGATGAGTGTGCTTCATGACGCCAACGGGAACCTGATCTACGCCGCCGCCGCCGCTGCGGCTGCTCCCCCTCCCGCGCAGACGGGTGTGTCGTACTGCATTCCGGGGGGTTTCCCCCAAGCGTCTCTACAGCAGCACCAGCAGCAGCAGCACCAGCAGCAGCAGCACCAGCAGCAGCAACCGCCGCCGCCGCCACAGCAGCAGCAACCGCCGCCGCCGCCGCCACAGCAGCAGAATGTGTTCTTCACCACTCATAGCCCGCCGCCGCCGCAGCAGCAGCAGGCAATGTACATGCAAGCCCCGAACGGGGTGATGGCGTCGCCCGCTCAGCAGTTCCAACTTATTCAGCCGCCGCCGCCGCAACAGACCATGCAGCTGCAGGGCGCTCAGGGGCAGATCATGTACGTGCGGACCTCGAACGGCTCTGTGGTGCCCGTTGTGTTCAACGGTGCCGCGTTGGCCGGACCTGCGCAGGCGCAAGGGGTGGGCTCCTACTACGTGGTGATGAATAACTGAGACTGGCACTGCCACAGCTCACCACGGAGTATGTGCGGGCTGACGAGGAGGTTGGCGCGCTTCTACTGCCTGTGCAACATCGTTTTGTGATGGTCACACTCCATGTGACCCGGCTGACGTCGTAAGAGCAAAGGCTGGCGGCCTTAAGTGCGTCGTCGGCAACTGCGCGGCGTGTTCATGAATTCTCTCAGACGGCCAACCAAACCGCCCGAGTATCAGCGGCCCGAAGAGCAAAACAAAAAGAAATACCCCCTCAAAAAATTAAACGAAAAATATCGCAGCCTGGCGTGTTCTCTTTCTCTACTTCTTTTTTTTTTGTAGTTCTTTTTTTCTTCCTTTAGTATTGTTATTACGACAGTTTTCTTTAACTCCCTCCCGTTCGTTCTCACCAACCCTCGTCCGTTTGTTTTGTTTGCATCACCGTAACACCAGTTCACTCGTTCGATTACAAAAGAAGAAGAGAATCTATGTTCCTATTGTCTTTTGCGTTGGCTTCCCGCCATGCATCGCAAAGAGAGAGAGAGAAAGAAAATAACGTGTCGGAGTCAGATGCGCTCTTCTTCATTTCATTTTTCTTTTCAAGTTTTACACCCTCTATTCATCTACTTCATGGTTCGCAGCCAACAGGCTTTTACCTTTCCTCCTTTTTTAAAGTATTTTATGTTTGACATTTTCTATGCTTTCTCTGACGGTGTTTCTGCTTGTGCCCACCAACTTGCTGTGATGATGCTGTGAGACGTGTTTCTTTTGGGCCGGGGAAAGAGAGAGAGAGAACCAAAAACGCATAACAAACGCGAAGAAGGAAAAACGGAGCATTCGCCTTCTTCAAAAATGCTCTTCCTACGACGAATCTTTTTAATGGTTTTCCTTTAACGCGCTTCTCTCGTTCACTTCGTCTTCTTGTGCGAGCCTGCCTATGTTGGTGCTGTCGCGCATAGCTCTTCATATGCTGGTCTTGCAAGTACTCACCCACACCTGCCCGCATCTACAAGTAGGATGCTCACACGTGCGCGCGGGGATGTTGGTGGGGTGTCGTGGGGTACAACTGGCGGATGCACCCGCCCAAAACCCGAAGTTGAACTTAACTGCCCTTAGACATTTCTATACTACGAAAAGGAAAAGTGGGAAATATGCCTTGGTTGTGTTTCTCCTTCTTTCTTCCCTTTCTACATATAAAGAAGAAGAACACCGGCGTACAGTCCCTGTTTTTTTTTTCTTGATGTACGTACACACACTCATATATATATATATAATACCGAATTCTTTTCTTTTTTAAATAGTTGTTTTGCGACTGTCTTTGGAGTTAGCTTTCGATGCAGCCGCGTCGACGTTGCTCCATCCTCTACGTTGGTTGTTCTGTAGGGGCTTCCTTACACGTTTAACGCCGACCTTTTTTTTTCTCTCTCTTTCTTGTAGTATGGCGATATTTTCTCCGGTAACTGCTGATTCGCGCAGAGCTTCTTTAATTGTCCTCCTTTGCGCTTCGTTACGTCGTTGACCTTCTTTTTGTTGACGCGACTCTTTTATTATTGTTTTATCTGTATGCTTCTCTCTCCTTCTCATACGGCGAACACACGTGTCTGCAAATCACACTTATGCGCCGTTTTTTTTTATCTTCACCGCTTTCGTTCTATACCCGTCGCTTCTGTTCTGTACACCCTATTGTTGTTATCATCATCATTATTATTTTCTCTTACTTGCTTTTCTTTCGCTGAGTTTTCCGTTTCTTATCATTACTTGCCTACACACACACACACGCCGTCTCTTTTGGGGCTTTTGCAAAAAAAAAAGAGAAGGCAGTCGCGACAGAGACGTCTCGAGAGGAGATAGAAGGCGAAGATGGTCGGCAGAAGACCCCCCGACAAGAAGAAGCCGTAAAAAAAAAGGAAAAGAAAAACCCCGACGGTATATATGGAGAGAGATGAAATGGAATAGCAGCCACAGCAGCAACAAAAAGCCCTGTGCGCACGGTGCACTCCACGCATTCAGGTGATGGTGTTGTCTGGCCCATATATATGCACACACACACACACACAGAAAGAGTATGTCTGGCCTTTTTACGTTGTCTCTCTTTTTTTCGACTCAGCACCACCGGCGGCACGGCGATCCTGACGTGTTCAAGAAGCATTTTTCTCTGAGTGGTGGTTTGTAGTTTGTGTAGAGGTTACCGCTCCTTATTTGGTTGCTGCCAAGGACGTTTGATTTTCCTTCCCCTACGAGGCGCACTGCTCTCCCGAGCCAGCACAAGAGCGTTGCCGTTAGTCTCTAACAACGTGGTAGCTGATTAAGAAAGCAAAACAAGCAAGACAAGCAGACAAAGAAATGCTGCCCTACACTTCCATGGCCCCGTTTTTCTTTTTGTTTGAGAGGTCTTTCTCCTTTTTCTTTACCGATAGCGATGTATCCGGCCTGCTCTTCTATGTAGTGTCCGTCATTAACTTCACCCGCTTTCTCCCCTTTTCTTGTCATACAAGGAGTTCACTTCGTGCTGTCTTGGGCGATTGCCTGCCTCACCTATACCTTTAAAGAATCCTTGATTACAGTTTGTCTTGATATTTTTTTTACTTTCCTAAGAGGGCACATTTGTCTTTGAGAAACTTGTATAAGAATGCAAGCGTTCCCTTTTTTTTTTAGCTTTCCGTTTAGTGTCTTTCCATGTGCGTGTTCATGTGTAGTTATGCGTGTCATTGCCTCCCTCTCGTGTGTTTCTTTTAACAACAACATCAAAAATAGTATTCTACCTCTTTTCGAGTTGTTCTCTCTCCTAAGCGACATTCTTTTTGTATTTTATTTTGGCTTTCTCCTCTCAACCCCAACCTCAACAGACGGACCGAGCACACACACGGGGAGAAAGGATCGCAAAGAAACATCAAAACAATCTTTTTGCTTTGTATAATTTTACCATTTTATTTTTCTGTTCCTTTTTTTTCTCTCTCTCTTTCTCTCTTTCCAAGTTGACATCCTTTATTTCTTCACCTCTTTCTCTTTTACTTGCTTTTTAAAACTCTTGTCACACGTCACAAGCACAAGTGGCTGTGCTTGTTGGTGCATCCCGAGCGGTGACGGGCGTTGTTATTGTGGACCGTAAGCCTCAGCCTATGGAGAGCGTAGTTGAAATGCTTTCTTTTTCTCTTTTCTTTTATCCCCCCCCCGTTCGTCATTCAAGTGGATTCTGCCCGTTTTTAATTTTTTACAATTTTTTGTAATCGTCTCCTCATCATATAGTTTGCAAGTGCCTCTTTTCTCCTCCTCTTTTTTTTTTTACTCTCACCATTACTTCTACCATCGTAGCTGCTTCACAGCTTCTTTCCTTTTCTTCTATGTGCCGCTCGGGGAGGCATACGTTTCGAAATGAAACATGAAACTGGGAATAATGTTTGTTTTTCTGTTCATTTTTTTTCCTGTTGTTTTTGCGCGTGTGGTGCGCATGTCTTGTAACGCGTTGGGATGCCATTTCTTCTTCCTTCTTGCTTCTGCCTTGTTTTCCATTTTGGTTTCTTTTTAAACTAGCAAGTAGTACCTCGCGTATTGGCCGTTTGTACCCCTTGTTTCTCGTTTTTCCGCGTATTTTAAAGTCGTAACCAGCACGCTGGTTTTTTCTTTTCCTTCTCCTGCTTATGACATGCCGATAGCTATCCGATACTTCCATGACTGTAGTAGAGAAACTTCTTTTGGTCTTCTGTAAAAATAAAATAAAAGGAAGACGCTAACACACGCGTTGGAGGTCTTTTTCTTTCTCCCTGTTCACGACGGTCCTGTCCTTCACCTATGCGCGCGTAAACGCAGGGCGAAGGCGACACGAGACTGCGTAGGACACGCCACGAGAGTGTTTGATGCTGAAACCGTCGGCACACTCCACTTGCTTTTGCAAGTGACTTATTATCGCTGTGTCACACACATGCGCGCAATGGATCGTCTTGCAGACCCGGCCGCAGATGGGCAGAGATGCCGATGTGAGCATTGCGGGGACGTGGCAGGCAGATACTGACTTTATTGTCTCATGTACATCTGCATACATTAACATATATATTGGAGTAAATGTATCTTTTCTGACAGTTTTTTTGTAATTTGATATTCGCACTTAATCTTTGTTTTTCACGGACTATTCCTATTTTGCATTGAAGGCGAGATAATTGGTGCACCTGATTTTTTGCGTGTAAGAAACCTGAAGTGCCTTCTATTGTTTTTTTTTTCATTTTCAATTTTGTTTTCTTTTTGCTCTGTTCAGCTTATAAAGGAAAAGGAAGAAAAGCTATCCAGATCAACGTACGTTGTTTCGCGTGCTGATGAATGCGTTCTTACTTTTGTTTTTAGTGATCTTTACGGCTTGTTGACAGTTGGTGTGTATTTTTTCTGTCTCCTTCCGTTCCTTTTAATATATTTGTATCTTTTCTGTTGCCGTTTCCTTACTCTCGTCCTCTCCCCACGCTCCTTTCAGCTCTGCGTTTGACAGCGCCATTTTTTTTCTTTCCCGTTTTGTCTTCCGTTTTTATCATGCGAGAGGAACACCGTGAAGCTCCTCTGTGACTTCGTTCTCTTTCCAACTCGCGATCTTTTTTTCTTTTCGTGTACCGGTTTGTTGTCTTTTTAATTCTTCTTCTCCGAGAAGCACTGAAAACAAACAAAAAACCCGAACCTCCCCCCAAAAAACCATCGAAGCTTTATAACTGCCTTTTGTGTCTTTAGCAACAGCGCAAACTCGTTTCTCCGCGCTGTTTACGTCTGCTCCTGTTGTTCTTCCGTCCTTTCGTCCAATTCCTGTCCCACTCCCTTTGGCATATATATATTTTTGGCTTCTCTTGAAATATCACTTTTCACATGGAGAAGAGAAGAAACGAAAAAAAAAATATATCACCGCGCCTCTCTACGCAGAGATACCGAAGGTCATCAACGTAGAACTGTTACTATCAGTTTTTTTATTTTCAATTATTTACTCTCGATCGCAGAGTTTATGAGGACGACGGTCTCTCGAGCACTCCGATGCTACTTCTCTTTCCTTCGTCCTTTTCCTTTCTTCGGCGTAAGTGCTCGAAGAACTCCTTTATTATTATTATTATTATTATTATTATTAACGAAAAAACGATTAAACGAAAGCGCGAAAACAGAAGCCTTTTCCTGCCTTTTCCATCTTCCATCTTCCATCTCCCCCCCTCCTCGTGTCTCTCCCTTGTCATGTCTTCTGTGTCTCTCCGGCGCTGCAGCAGGATAAACACCGCAAGGGGGTCTACTGCAGTCTTTGTTATTCTCTTCTCTTTTCTTCTCAGTGTCTTCACGCGTTGTCGCCTCTCTGGGGTTTTTTTTTTTGGTCTATCGTGCTGTGTGTGGTGTGTGCCGCAGCTGCGAATCGTGCTTATCGATGGATTTCTCTGCTGCACGTGAAGAAAGGCCAATGGGGGACGACCTGGCAGCGGGGCGTCTTCGCTTTTATGCCGGCGCACACGCACACGCACACGTTTTTTTTTTTACGCTGCGCGTTCTCGGCTCCGTGCGGCGTTTACACAAAACGGGAAAAAACCAGACACGTATTTCTCTTCGATTCTCTTCATCGAACGACGGGCACAACAGCCGTTCAGGTCGAGGCGGTGCGGACAAGAGAGACAGGGAGGAAAGAAAAAGGATTGTTGCCGTGTGAGTGAGTTTATCCGGTGCGCGTCCGCAAGAGAGAAAAAAAAGGAAAAAGAAAAAGCAGACAATCAAGAAGGCGTGGAGGTTTTTGTTTTGTTTTTGAACCTTTTTTTTCTGTTGTGTTTCCCTGCGGTGAGTTCTTTTGGTGATGGTTTCACCTTCTTTTCTTCTCATTTGGGTGTTCTTCGAGGTGCTGTTTGAACTCTTCGTATTCTTTGTGAAGACCGCGTTTAGGGTTCGATTTCCGCTCTTTTATTATTGTTTTCATTATTATTGGTGGCGTTGTTGCTACCCCCTTTTTTCTTTTATTTTCCCTGCTTCCTTTCGCCGTTTCCGGGAAAACCGCAGCGGTGGCGAGGTGGTCAGGAAAACGGGACTCGCCGAGAGCGCAGTGCACCAGAGCTGCTGCCTTTTCCGCACCGTATCCTTTTTTTTTTTTTTGAATGTCTAGGACTTACTTGGTCGCTACTACAATTATATATGTATCTATGTGCGTGCTCTGATCTAAAAGAAGAAGGAAAAAAACCCCGGAGAACTAGGTGAACTCTATGTGAGTACTTGCATGTCTACAGCAACATCTATTGCACAGTAACAATAATAATACTCGTCGTTATAAATAACAATAAATAAGCAATGTTGGCTACCCTCCTGTTGTGTTTCGTGTGCAACTGCTAATACTCCATCATGTATATATATACATTTAAGTGTTTTGTGCTGTTGCGTATTTCTCTCACTACAACCCCGTTATTTAAAAGAGGTGGAGAGGCGGATGGAAAGATATTCGTTGTCGTGTTATTATTATTATTATTAATGCTTTCAATATGCTCGTTCGTTCGTTCGTGTTGTCGCTCGCCGGTTTCCCCACCCCCTTTTTTTCTCGTTTGATGTATTCAATACAGCTCTGCTTCGTCCCTGTGCACTCTCCGTCAATGAAGGGTGTATATACATATATTTCTTCTCGGTGTGTTTGCCATTGCCTTCGAAACAGCTCCCGCTGACCTTAATTCGTTGTGCTTCGCATGGATACAGGTTTCTGCCTCACCTTTTTTTAATTATTATTTGTGAAAAAGAAAAAGCCGATTAAAGCGCAATTCGACGAGTCTGCGCCTTTGATGTTCTCCCACTTGCCGACTGCAGCGATTCTTGTAGATACATAGCAAAACCCCCACAATTCGGCTGCACATGTATGTAACGAGTCATTCGAGAGAACACGAAAACCGCCAAACATCGTCGCTGAAATACTAATAGTAATAATAACGGCACATTCCAATGATTTTCCCTTCTTTTCGGAGAATAAAGGTATTAAAGAGATGATGAATTACATTTAAAGAAGCAAATACATATCCAGCGCTGAGGAGATGCAGCGTATACTCGGCAGAGACGGCGAACCGAACTCACTTTTACTTTCCAATTAGACCACGCGAGGGCGCACAACAGCGTTTGCCGTCTCTTGATGCCCTCAAACACAAACAAACGGTGAATCACTTCTTTCGTTTCCTTCCTTCGTTCTCTCGCCGGTTATTTCTGTACAACTGTTTTTTTCTTCTGTTTTCGCAGCGAGAAGCATCCATGTATTATTCGATGTAGCGCTCTCCTTTCCGTCTTTTCGCTAAAAAAGATATCTGTCTTCTTTGTTGTTGTTGTCGTGCGTTGTGCCGTAAGTCATACGCTGCAAAGTTCTCCCTCCTGTCTCTTTTCTTCTTCCTCCTCACCTCTTTGCTTCCCTGCGCGGCACGGACGTTTTCTTTGTGTAGTTGTGTAGTTGGGCGGCTGTGATAACTTTTTTCTGTTTTGTTTGTTTCCTGTCAGCAAATCTGTGATACTCTCCTCCAAAAAGCAACAACAACGAACACCGACAACGATGTGTTTCTTTTTTTTCTTTTTTTTTTCTCCCTCTTCGTGTTTCTCCCGGTACTCGTGTTTCTGGATGCATTACATATGTAATGTTCCCTCGTCGAACCCGCTTCTGTTTGTTGTTTTGCGTGTTGTATCGTTGCCCACCACCGGCCTTCACCAACACGAGCGAGTCGCCGGAGAAGAAAGCACACCGGTCGTAGCGCGTGAATTGCATCGCTGCCACATCGAGAAGAGGCAGCTCAAGGAAGAAACAAAGAAAGAGAAACGAAAAGAGAAAGTGCCGCGCATCCTGCACGCACTTCTCCCTTCCTCTTAATGCTCCTTGTCGCGGACGTTTTGTGGTGCACGTTGCGAAGGACCGGGCATCTTCTTTCCTTTTTTCTTTTACTTACAGTTTTTGTCTTTGTACGACGCAGCACGTCGCGATCTTCCTTCTTCTTTTCTCAAAAAAGGTATTATTCTCTTTCACATCATTACTGGCTTTTCAATGTATTTCAGTGGTGGATATCGTGTTGAAGGGCCGAAGAAGTTTGAGAATCTGAATTAACGGCAATGGAAAAAGGAAAAAAGAAAGAAGAAGCACCAGCTTGTGTGTGTGTGTGTGTGTGTGTGTGAACGAAACAGCAAGCGGCTTTGCACACGCGTTATCTTTCTTTCTTGCCTTTTTTTAATTGGCGTTCGAGCTCCCTGAACAATGTTTTTTTTTCACCTCCGAAAAAAATGTAATCCATGTTCATCCTCCACGATAATAATAACAACAATAGTAAATCATCATTATCATTCAAACGTATATGTGTGTGGGGGGTCGCGTTCTCGCTGCGAGGTCGAGCTGCTCGCTAGAACATCTAAACTCTGACAACTGGGACGGCACCTCTGAGCGCTTCTTTCCGCCACCACAGCCAGTACCCACACGCTGCATTTTTTCAGCGGAAAAACAATGTAAGAAGGCAACCCGTCCGACTCTTCTCCACACACCCCTCCCAGGCCGGAGCAGCTGCTTACAACAATCACAACAACAACAAAAAGATAATGTAGCGTGCGTGCTGCCTGTAATTCTCAAAAAAACAAAACAGCTCTTCATCCTCTTTGTTTTCGCTTCTCGCTGCCATTCTGCGTTTTATTTATCTCTTCTTCTTCTGTGGTGACACTAAACTACACACACATGAACGCATGCCCCTCACGGCACTCCCGTTGTGATCGGTGAACGCAACTTTCAAACAAAAAAACCCTTTCACGATAATAATCCATGCCGGCTAATCGCAGAAGTGCACATCGAGCTGGCATGACGTGCTTTTTGTCAGAAGGAGAAAGTCAAGTAATCACTTTTTTTTTGTAGGGGATCAACTGAAGCGTTTGGAGTATTTCCTGTGCTTCTCCCTCCCTCTCACCTGTGAAGCGTAACGAGCTCAGCTCTTTTTATTTGAATTTGTTTTGACGAAGCATAGCGAGCGCTGCAGCAAGCAATACACCGCTTGGATCACTCTGAGAGATTTACCGTACAGAACTGCGTTGCCTCGTATCACCGGCTTAAACACGCACGCGGACGTACAACTGTATTATTAGTATTAGTATTATGCTTTACTGCCACTATTATCACTACTATTAAAAAAAAGCAGAGTATTCTGCCGCTGCCCGACCATGGCGTCCACCGCTCCCACGACCCTCCTCCTGCGCGAGACGTGGGGCATCTCCCCCACCAACCGAGCGAGAACGGACGAGATGGCAGCAGCGGGAAAGCGACCGCCGCGTTCTGCGGAGGCAGCGACCTACACGTTTTCTCCCTTCTCCTTGCACGACCCGCGGCGGTTTGCGGAGATGCTGAAGGGTGCGGTGGCTCCCGTTGCGGCGAGCCGGTGTCTGCCCTGTGGCTCCCCTCCCCCTTCGCCGCCTTATCTCCCAGCTGCGGCCCGTCAGCACCGCTGGCGCTGGCGCTGCCCCTACGTGCTTCCCGACACTGTGGAGCGTACGGCGCCCTCGTCCGCAGGTCCTCACCACCCTCACCTACGCGATGCACCCTCCTCTGGCAGTAACGATCATGCGCAGCCCCAACGAAGAGGGTCTCCGTCACCGGTGCAAGTCGCTGCTGCTTCTCTACAACATCCTTGTCCTCCGCCTGCACCGTGTGCGACGGGGACCTCGTGTCCAGGCAACCTCACAGGGGAGACACCGCCAGTGACGACGGTTTCTCCGAGTGCTGCCGCAGCAGACGCGCTCTACCCCGATGACGCGACCCAACTCCTTCGCGAACTGCAGCGGCAACTCTGCGCATTGCAGGTCTGTGTGGAGGACATGCGGTCAAACATCGCACCTCATCCCCGAAATGGACGACCACCATCCGCGATAGCGACGATGGCTGCCGCAGCAGATACGACGGCGTTGCCATCGTTTGTGTGTGTCGACCCTGCGTCTGCCGCGACGGTAACGGAGGCTGCGGCGGGGGTGACGATGACGATCAATGAGACGGCGTTTTCTGACATGGTCGCTCCGCCAGAGTGCGACGCGACGGTCGGCTGGGTGTACATCGGCTCCCCACCGGAAGCCCCGCTCAGCCACAACACGCCAAGGAATCCGGCCAACGGCGGTGATGAGCGTGATGAGCGTGGTGAGGGTGCGTCGGCAGGAGGGCCACCGGGTGCAACGTCCGCGGCCGTCACAACTGAAGACCCGCGGAGGGCGACCCAGCCGGAAGCACTTCCGCCTCCTCCGTCTTCTGCCGCTGCTACGCGAAACTCGTCGCACGAGGCGGTGGCCCAACAGCGAGAGCGCCGCCGGAACGTGGCGCAAAGCGAAGAGGGAATGCACTTGGATGGTGCAGCCGCGTCCTACTCTCCGTCTGCCCCTGCTCCTGCTGCTGTTGCTTCGGGAGTGGTTTGCACTTCGACTTCCACGCCATCTCTCACAACCCCAGCACGCAGCAGTCCCCCCAGCGGTGATGGCAACAACGATGCTGGTCTTTTTGCCATGCAGATGAGCGGCGTCTCCGCCCTCAGCACCACCGCGCTTTCCAGCGGAACCCCCGACGCGATCAGCACCGTGCTTGCGCTCGATCGTCACATGGACGGCTTACGTCAGCACCCGTCGTGGGTGGCGGCGATGGAGGCTGCAAAGACGCACGTGTTCGTGGAAGGCGAGGGCGGCCGGCCGGTGACCTCGCGGAAGAACCGCAACGTCGTCGTTGCCTCACCGGGCATTTCCCCCCTCAAGACACAGCCGTCACCCTCGAACGAGAAGCTGCAGAGGCGGACACCGCCGAAGCGAGAGGAAGAGAAGATCAGTGTGGAAAAGAGCGGAGGAGAGGACGATGAGGGCTTATACGGCATGCTGGATGTGTACATGTGGTACCCGAAGTCACAACCGGAGGTCACCGAGATAGTGGTGACGCCGACGGCGGCAGCGACTCCCATGGCCAACACGATCACCACCACGACGACAGATCTTCGTCAGTCCACGATCGCCAGTGCGGGGACGGACAACGAGGCGTCGCTGCTGATGGCGTCCGCCACGTCGGGCGTCCGTCCGTCTCTCGCCACGACGGTGACGGTGTACGCCCTGCCCGGGGAGGACCGCGGACTCATGCTGACTTCGCTGGTGGAAGCCTCCGCAGGAACGCCGGAGCCAATCACGGAGGAGGCGAAGTTGCTGGAGAAGCTGCAGCCATGTCCCACGCGACTGGGGCCACAGGAGGCGACCGCAGGAGGCGAAGAGGAGGACGATGATCTGCGATGTGTGGGAACCCTTTCAACTTCGCTGCCAAAGCAGCGTCGTGCGCCTGTGGAGCAGTCTCTTCAGAAAGAGGGCGAAATGGAGAGGGCGAGGTCGGAGGGTACGTACGTGGCGCAGCACTCTTCCACTGCGAAGGAAGCACCGCCATCTCCGGCCACGGAGAGCCGCCGAAAGCAGTTTTCTCCGCTTATAGCGTCGGCTCTGGCTGCTGCGATAACGAATGCTGGTAGGGCCGCGGCTGTTTCTGCTGCTGACGGCGGTAGTTTTGGTGTTGGTGGCACCGCAGAGCAGAATGCAGGAGAGCGGGAAAGGCTCGCTCGTGACGAGAGGATTAGCACGGAAGGCGTCAACCCCACTGGGGAAGGCACGCCGCACCGAACTGCTTTACATGAGACAGATGCCCGACCCACAACGTCATACATGTGCTTTCGCAGTAAAGCATCAGCAGCAGCTGCTGCAAAGGCGGTCAACAGAGCAGAAGCGCTCGGCGTGTCAGCCTCTTCTTCCACGCAGAGTGCTGCTCGATCAGCTCCGTCTCCTGTGGCAGCCGACGCACGGCGTGACAGCCGTGGCGTTGGAGGTCGCCACCGATTCCACTTGCGGAACGGTGAAGCGGACGAGGTGACCGAGGCGTTCTCCAGCAAAGCCGCCACTGCCCCGCCAGCGTCCAGTGAGTTCACCGAGTCGTCGCTTGGCTTCTCCAGCGCAGGGCCATCGCCACTGCGGTATGAGCATCACCAGGAGCAGCAGCAGCATGAGCAGAAGGACCTCGTTTACTCAAGTATGCTAGAGACGGTCTCTCCGGTGCGTGTGGACCGCGAAGGCGTGTACGATGCCAGGGCCTCTCTTCTCCTCTCCTCCACCGGCCATGGAGACAGCAACGAGGCGAACACTGGGAGAGACGATCGTCACACAACGACAGGGGTGCACCCCCTGCCAGTGGGTGGGGTGCCGCTGTCACATCCGGAGGTGCCTGAAGGCGACGGAGCGGCGGGTGGGGCGGCGGTACACCGTGGTAGCCGCAACGGCCCTACCCGCCGCTCCGCCACCTTCCGCAACACCGACTTGTCTGCCCCTGCCGGTCTCTCCGCCGCAAAGCCGGTGCACAATGTGTTGGAGGAAAACCGACGTGTCAGGGAGACGAAGGCGCGCGCGGTTGTGAGAGGTGTTTCACGACGATCACCACCACCATCACTGCCCTCAGCAACCGCACCGCCGTCACGTGCCACGCCAGGTGAACTCTCCGAAGTACTCAAGCAGCACCGGCAGCAACCAACAACAGCGGCAGCAGCGGGGCTCAGCAGCAGCAGCAGCAGCGGCAGCGGCGGTGGCCACGCCCTCGCTGATCGCCGCCGGTCGAGCGAAGCCAGCGGGTACACCGACAGCGTGAACTCCCAGTCGCGCTTTATGGCGCGTCCCGGCGCGCCATCTCCCGCGGCGTCCCCTACGCACTCCGTCCACGTGTCATCGCCGTGCTCTTCGCCAACGCAGAAGGCGAGGCAGCGGTGCTCACCGACGCTCTTCACGTCGCAGCCCACGGGCAGTGAGACAGCAAAAGGGGCGGTAGAGAGCTCGGCAGGGGCCTCAACGGCATCCATTGGCGCTTCCGCAGCGGCGACGGCAGAATCGCACGACTCATTGCCGAATAAGCATCGAGAACACGCACCGGCCACGTCAGCAAATGGAGAAACCTCGTGCTCAGTGAGCACGTTGTCTCGCCCACATCCCCCACCAGCAGCGACACCAGCAAATACGACGACAATCAAAGCGGCACCTTTGTATGCGCTGCCTGCGCTGTCAGTTGCACGACCCTTCATGGCTGATGCTGTGTTGCCGAAGCAGAACAGCGACGGCAGCAACAAACAAAGAGAAGAGCTCCGACCCAGGCGTCCAAACAGCAACGGCTGTCAGTCCTTGCGTCTCGGCGGCACATCTGTGTTGACTACGGGACAATACCGGGTGTGGGGAAGCAGCGAAAGCTGTCAAATCGCCCCAACACGCCGGGTGGCGAGTGCCTCGGCGAGGGACGGGTTTCGGCAGCTGGGCTCGTCGTTGTTTTGGAACTCAGGAGGCGCTCTGTCCGCGCCAGCGGCAGTGTCATTGCCTTCGCCAACGCACCTCGCGCCACGTTGATCTACGAAAGGTCACTGGGTTTCTTCGTAAGTCTTTCGAGGCAACAATAACGACAAGAGAGAAAACATATGTATCGACTGTTGTCTTCAAGAAGGCGTCTCTTTCTTCTGCTTGTCATACAACAATTATTGTTGTTGTTGGTGTCTTCTTTCGGAGAGGCACAACGCTGATGTAGAAACGCAGATACCAGTAAATATCTGTCCCTGCTCCTTGCACTTTTACCCATTTTTTTTTTAAACCTCCTGTTTACGCCTTGTTTTGTCTTCCTCATTTTCCACTCTTCCTCTCCGATGTAATGTGTCAACACAGCGTTGGAAACGGTTTAGCTTAGCACTCTGCGCTTATGTATCCCTTATCATTTTGTCTAGTTTTTTTTCTGTCTTGGAAGAATTAACTTGTCGCGACTCCTCTCTGGTGTCACCGCCGACGGTTGCAGCGTATGTTTCGTATTTCTGCCTTTCCTCCTGTATTTGTGCTGTTGGCCACTTTCTTCAGAACCGTTGACGTTCTCTCTCTCTCTAGCTCGCTCGTTTCGCTTTCTGCGTTTTTTTCTCTGTGTTGTGGCGTAGCTCGCGTTTACGGCTTTAGCGCGGGAGCCTTGTGGTGACTGTACTCGCATGGTGACACGCCATCCGGCCTGCTCACACACGCATACACACGCCGGCTCTTTTACTTATTCCTATTGGTTTTTTATTCCTTCTAGGACCTGCTGCTTTTTCGACTCTTTCTTTTTCCCGTTCGCCGACTCAACAGGCTTTCTTTGCACACGCATACGCCGTCATTTTTATTATTTCTCTGCTGCCTCGACATAAAGAACTCGACATTTGTGTTTTCCATCTTCCTCCTTCTTTCAGAAGAGCGGGTTTGGGCTTTCGATGTATGTAGATTATAACTTAGCCTGGAAGCCTCTGGACTGTCTCAGCCACGTGTGCAATGCACCGCATTGGCATCGAAGAACAATAATAATAATAATAATAAAAAGGATCGAAGGGAAAGATCTGCTAGTAAGTTTACTTTTGCCATGGAGTCGTTTGGAAAGCCACCGCAATGATCGTTGCAAGCGAGCGTCGCAATGATCGTACCGACGCTGATTTCCACTACTCAATGCAGCTTCGGCTATCTTTTTCTTCTGTTTTTTGCGATCAGCGAAAAGGGTGTCGGTGGCGTATTCCTCCGTTGCGCATCTCTACACGCTTCCTCTCCTCCTCATCTCTTACTTTAACCATTTTCCTCCCTGTGCTGTTGTTGTTGTTGGTGTGTGTGTGTGTGTGTGATCCCGGCGAAGGAAACCGATTTTCTTCCACGGTTGTCTTTGTGATACTGTCATCATTGTTATCGTCATTGCCATCCTATACGCTCACTGGTGTACACCTCCACACAAACATACGCACATCATTCCGTTTATCGGGCCACCCGTCGAACCGAAGCGTGTACGCTGCTGTGTTGGACCTCTTCCCTCTTCTCTCTTCCCTCACGAGACAGAGAAAGGTAAAGAGAAACGGAAAGCGAGGGGCACGATACCTCCTTGTTCGCGTAACGCGTTACACGCCATCCGCACGCATCTGCAGGGGTCAAACTCGAGAAGAGGAATATCCAGGCGGCGTAGACGGTGCGTTCCTGAGTCGCTGACATAATAGAAGGAAAAACAGGTGGAAGCGCACCCCCAAAAGTTCAACAGCTTCATACTCCCACGACAACCACACAAGAGGCAGAAAGGAAGAAACATGGTTTTAGAGGGTGCACCCGTGACGGGGCTGACGCTGATCATCTCCACCGTCTCCTCGGCCATGGTGCGGGGACAGTACACTCGCTACCGAAACGCCGCCTTCGCCGCGGCTTCCCCGCTCTCGCCCCACAGCACCTCCACCGCCGTCAAGCGTCTTCTGCTGCAGAGTATTCCCATCGGCCCTCTCGGCTTCTCCGCCTTTGATGTCTGTCTCGCGGTCAGTCTCGCCTACCAGTTCCGGACGCTGGAGCGGCGGTGGGGCTCCAACCCTTTCTTGGGCTTCCTCCTCACGGCGTCCGCGTTCGGCGTGTGCGCCACGCAGCTCTTTGTGACGGACAGCGGCACGCCGCAGCTCTCGCTCGATGCGGTGCGCATTCTTTCTGCCGTGGGCACCCTCGTGCCGCTCGCGGCGCTGCTCACGCGGTACGTGCGAGAGGTGCCCTCGCTACACATTATCATGCACCGCCTTCCAGGTACCCACCTCGCCGTGACGGAGAAGGCACTCGTCCTCTTGCCATTCCTGAAGCTGGTGCTGAACCCCGTGACGCAGGTAGACGCACAAACCTATCGCCGTGCGGCCGTCATCGTCGACGTTGGACTGTGGACGCGGCTGCTGTGCACCCTGATTGGGGTTCTCTTCGCCATCTTCTCCACGCGCTCCACCGCGCTGCGATGGTGGTTGGTGCTCTTCACCAAGTACGTCTGCCGCCCGCTGCTGCGCTTCCTGCGGCCCTTGACGGAGATTTTGTTCGGCGCCTCCTTCACGGTCGATCACGCAAAGCCGCGGCATCGGCAGCAGCAGCAGCAACAGGGCGGCGGCAGCTTCCACTTCGACAACGACGGCAGCGGCGATGCGGCAGGGGCGGCGTCGGTGGTGGATGATGGCCGGTACGTGGTGGAGAGCTTGGCGGGCGGGGACGCGCTGCAGGAGGTGCGGGCTCGCATGCGGGCACGCCGCCACGCGATGGGTCGGGGAGGCGCGAATGGTGATGGCGCTGGCAGTGCTTCTCGGACGCCTGTGACACGTCGTAGCCCGCAGGAGGAGGCGGCGAGGGCGTCCGCGGTGGCCACGATTGAGGCGCTCGGGCTGCCGGTTGGCAGGGATGAAATCGCGGCTGTGTTGGACATGACGGATGGCAATGTCGAGACGGCGGTACACGTGCTGATGGGCAGCTGAGAGCGCCGTACGGAGGGCCGAAAAAGGAGGAAGAGAGGATTGCCGCCTACCATGCTGTACGAGCTTTTCTTTTAAAGAGTATCTTCTTGCGCTGGTTTCGCCTTCACACTGAACAAAATCCAACGTCTGAGGCGCTTTCAGCAGCGTGTCGACGTCACGGCAACTCCTTGCGCCGACCGCCGCTGCTTTTTAAATAATACTATTGCTCTTCTGTGCTTTCTCTCTTTCCAAACAAGGCAGTCGTGATGGCAGCTGTATCATTTCAAGGGAAAAGGAATAAAGATGAGTTTGCAATGTATTTTTTGAACAGCTCTTCAATGTAGCGTTGCCTCGGTGAAGTGAATAGGTGGACGACGGCCGTTTTGTGTGTGTGGCCGTTATCGCGGTGGAGACTGTTATTGCGAAAGTGCATTACTGCTGCATTTTTTTTTCCTTCTGCTGCCTCTTTTCCCCTGCGCGTGGGATTCTCGGCTGCGTCTCTGAATACACCGCAGTCGTTTCAGAATACAGGCGAGCCGGCATCCCACCTTTCGCTGCTGCTGCTCGCTCTTGCTGCGACACAACCTCTCCCCCTTTTCGAAAAAAGCTTCTTTCTTCTCTCTTACTTTATCATTCCTTCTCTTCCAACACACACACACACACACACACACACACACAGGCGTGAGATCACAGCGGAGAAGCCGCAGGGTGTATTCTGCTGTGGTGCAACAGGAAGAACATCTCAGTATTCTCTATTCGACAAAAAGACAACAACAACAAGCGGAAGCATGGACGCCTCCATCGAACACCTGCGCGAGTCGCTCGGCGAGCTGCTTCAGTACTATCCGCAGGTGCTGCGCAATGTTTTTCATTCATCATCATCATCTACGCCCGCAGCGACGACGGCGGCCGCGCTCACAGATATTGAGTCGCCAAACGAGGGACCATCGACACCTAAAACGGCGACTGCCAGCTCTGCCCGCGACGCCAATCACATGTCCGACGCGGTGGAGGGCTTCTTGTCGGAGCTGACACGCGCCCTCTCTCTCGGCCTTCGCGACGGAGACGGCTTTGAGCTGTGGTCGGTGCTGGAGCTGCTGGAATGTGTGCCGGGCCGAATGCAAGCGGAGGCGGAGGCGGAGGCGGAGGAAAGAGCGTTGACGGGGACCTCCGGACGCTCCCCCGTGGCAACGCCGAAAGCAGCGGCGTCGCGCAGTCTGACCTCTGCGCCAGTGTTTCATCATCATCATCACCATGGAGGAGATGATGTGGAGGGTAAGCGTGCTTCCGCTGCCGCCTCCTCTCTTCCGTCTACGAGCTATCCTACGCCGGCGCCTGCATCGGCGCAGCTTTCACGCAGGGCAGTGGCAGAAGAAGGTGCGTCGTGGCGGCACCACCTCCAGCGCTTCCACTTCGCCTCGCAGCTCATCTACGTTGTCCGCTCCACCTTCCCTTCCGCCCCACACGTTCTGCAGGCCCGGATATTGCTTCGCCTGGCCCTGAATCAGGGTTGTCTGTTGGCGTCGCTTGAGCTGCTGCGACGGTGGTGTCGAGCTGAGTTGGACGTGTTTTACGCTCCGGTGCGAGATGTGTCATCAGCAGCTGCAGCGGAGGCGCAGCGCAGCGTCTGTGAGGCTCTCTTGACGCAGCCGGACACGGACAGCGATGTGTGGAATTCTTTTGTGGCCGCCATCGCCCCCGTGGGGGGGCCTCCGATCTCGGAAATCGCCGCCGGCGCGCCCAAGACAGCGGCGCAGCCTTTCTATCTCCAACTCGTCGTAGCCGGCCTGGACAACGACTCTGCCGCGTCGCGGGAGTATTACACACAGCTGCAGAGCTACGTGCAGGGCAGGCGGTCGACCCGGCCATCGGCGCTCGTCTGCTACGAGGCGAGTCAGCGCTGTCATGCCCACTGCGCCGGCTCGTCTGCTGCTGCTGCTGCTGCCGGGTCGCAGGCGCGACGTCGTACACCGGCCGTACCCGCGCAGCAGCGCGTGTTGGAGGTGGAAGCGCTCCCCCTCGCACGGCCCACAGTAGCGCCCTCCGATGCCGGGGAGGAGAGGGCTGAAGGGGCAGGAGGGCGCGGCGCTGTTTCCGCTTCGCAAGCCAGCGGCCACTCCACCCATCAGCGTCGACAGCGTCGTCGAAAGAGGCGCGTGCACAGGGGAGGTGTGGAGGAGGAGGAAGAGGGAGCAGGCGTGGAGGCAGCCGATGCGTCTCGCGGCGATGAGGAGGGCGACGAGGATGGCGTGGATAGCGAGCGGGGTCGATCCTCTTCGTCTTCTTCTTCTTCGGCGTCCGGTCAGCCTGCACTGCACGAGCGCCGTAGCAGCTCTACTGCGCCGTGTGATGCTCCTCCGGCGCACCAACACCGGCGCGGTGCCGAGCCCGTTGCACCGCGTCGGCCCATCACCCCAAACGACGGCGCAGCCGGGAGAAAGCCGGCCAATGCAGAATGGGAAGCTGCGCTGCGTTGTGCGTCGGCCGCCTCTACCGCGAACGAAGTGAACGTTCACACCGCGAAGGGCGACGGACATGATGAGTCGATGTTGCAGCAATCCCTTCATGCGTCCGCCGAGTGCTCTGACCGATCCGACACAGCGGCCGCAGCGGTGAACCCGCCGACGCAACCAGTCACTATGGTTGCCAACGCTGAGACAACGTCTGTGCGAGGTGGAGAAGCAATTCCTGGTGATGTACGAAGAAGTAGAATGTCCCACTCGCCTGTTTCTCCACTACCATCAAAACTTGATGTTGGGGGAGCGAAGAGGTTGTCGCAGGACGCCCTCTCGCCGCTGCCGCCTGCATTGGACGATGTGCAAGCACGTGTGCTGCAGTGCTGGGCCGTGGCCGTCGCCCACGCTGAGTCGCAAGAGCGGATGCGACTGAGCGCTCGAGATGCGGACGCAAACAACGTCACGGCGAGCTGATGACGGAGGAGACAACCTCCTTTTATTCCCTTTCTTTGTGGCTTTTCCATTCGTATGCTGTTTAGCGACGGAATCGGTGAGCTATGGACGACTGCTGTGGAAAGCTGCGGGCTTCACCGTTTACCTCCTCTTCCTCCGCAGCTTTAAGACGATGGGAGGGCAGTTCAAAGAAAGGCAAGAGTTTCTTCATATATGTATATATAGTTTTCCTTGACCCGCAGGTGTATCGCTCACGCGAGGAAAACGGAAGGTAAAGGATGCTCATGCAAAGGGCATACACAAAATGAAGTATCGTGCGTGTCGAATGGTGCCGCATTTCGAGTGCTTTTCAGTTCTTTTTGCTCCATTCTTGTGTCTTTCCTCTATCTCTCTCGGACCCGTCATGTCCATTTTTTTCCCAGCAGCACAGCCAACACCCCTCCATCCACGCACACACGCACACACAACGCTGAACAGCACATCTGCAGCGTCTGCACATCATAACAGGCGGCAGCATTTTCAGCGGAAAGCGTAGTGAAAGAAGAGAAGGTCACCGCTAGGTCTCCCCTCATCTTGCGGTAGCATAACGCATCCACATCGAAAACATCGGCCAGTAGAAAGTGCACCTTCAGCATCCGGCGTACCACCGTGTGCTTTGAACGACCGCGTCTCCATCTTCCCCTTTAGCGTATTGCTCGTCAAAGCAGCAGCATCAACAACACAGTAGTAAATTTCTTCCTTTCTTTATTTTCCTCTCCTTTTTTTTAGCTGCTTCCATCTCCGTTAGAATCATGGCAGACCTCATCACCTCCGCGGCGGAGAGCGCCTCGAAGAGCCTGCGCCGTACCTACCGCCGACACCGCAGGGCCTGCCTGATCGCCGCCAGTGCACTCGGCACGTACGCCACCGTGAAGACGGCGTGGTTAGTGTACGGTGTGTGGGCGACGGCGAGCACAAACAGGATGTTCCGCAGCCTCGAGGTGGGCATGGTGCACCTCTTCATGCACCCTCGCTGGTCGCACGGGCCGAACCTCTTTCCCCACTGCGTGAAGGTGGAGTGCTTCCTGCGCTTGGCGAAGATCCCGTACGTGGCGCACTTCACGAACGAGGTCAGCATGTCGCCCAACGGCCGACTGCCCTTCATCGTGCACAACGGCACCGTCTTGGCGGATGGTGAGTTCATCATCCAGTACCTGACCGAGACCCTCGGCGTGCAGATGAACAGCGGCCTCACCGCGCAGGACCACGCCCGCGGGCTGATGGTGCGCCGCATGGTGGAAACCTCCATCAACTACGGACTGAACCGCACCACCTTCGTCGACTACCCGCGCTACATGGCGGACATGTTCTCGAAGGAGTACGCGCTGGAGCCGATCATGTCCAGCATTCTCGTGCGAGGGATGCGAAATGCCACAATTCGCGTGTTAAACGCCGTCGGCTACGGCACGCTGTCGCAGGGGCAGTACGAGGAGGAGTTCATGCGCGATGTGCAGTCGTTGGAGACGTTCCTGCAGGACAAGGAGTATCTCTTCGGGTCGTCCCCGACGTCCTACGACTGCTCCGTCTACGCCTGGCTGCAGGTGGCACTGGAGTTTGGGCCGAACGGGAACGGGCTGACGTACCTCTATAACAGCGCCCCGCTGCGCAGCTACGTGGAGCGCATTTCCAAGCTAGCCTTCCCTGACTTCAGTGAACTGCGAACCGCAAAGGCGACGCAGCGCTACATCACGGCCGCTTAAACAGGCGTTGAACGCTGGCGAAAAAGGAAAAGGGAAAAACCGAAAGAGAGAGAGAAGCTCACTACGGATTTTCTGTTTTCGTTGTAGATATGAAAACGCGGTGGCATACACAAGCTCGTCATTTACGCGACACGGGCGCCGATTAGGACGCGCATATTTCTACCTACATCACCAATGGAGCTCTTCTCTTTGTCTAACCCCGCTTTTATCAGCGTATGTATTAGCTTTATCTGGAAGTTCCCGCGTTTTCTCTCCTTTTTCTTCTTGTGTTGGGAGACCTGGTGACTTTGCAGGCCCAAGTGCTTTGCTCGAAGATGACGAGTGTGCATGAATCGTCAGCGGTATGAACGCCTCGATGCGTTAGTATGACAAAACAATACAACGAGCGAGACAGGCCAGAGCAACTTCCGTCGTAGGCGACAACAGGCGTCGAGAAGAGGAGAACTCTGCAAATCACGCGGCACGAGCTAAAAAGCAAAGAAACATAGCTATTAGAATTCTATCGGCGCCAACAACAAGCCATTCGATGCGCTTAGCGTGCACCACGTTGAATAAAACTGCTTGTATCGTGTATATTGTATTAATAGGTTCAATGAGCCGGTAGCGGAGCAGAGGGTGGATAGGAGGAATATATATATGAAACACACGCGACACCTTTAATAACAACAGAAGAAATATATACGTGTTTAGCAGCAGCACAGTTCCGACATTCAACAACAACAAAACGTTGGTTTGAGCTTCAAGCGTGCTTTGTTCTTCATCTTCATCGGCTCCAGTTTCGTTTCTCTATCTTTTTTTTCCCTTTGTCGTTCAGCTGGAGAAGACGTAAACAGAAACATAGTGTTTGCTTTATGTAAAAAAGAAGAAGGGACTGCGGTGTTTTCTATCGTTTTTGAACTCCTCCCTTTTTCTTTTAGTTTCATTGTAACGCTTTTTTGCGAGTTTCATCAATAGTAAAGAAACCACTGAAGCCCGTGGGGCGAGTTTCTCACGTTTCTGGTTGCGTGTGTGTGTGTGTGACGCGTGCCTTCTCTGTGTTGCTGATATCCGCCTTTATTTCTTTTTTCACCGCTGTTTTTTCTTCTTCTTTCCTTTGTATCGGCGTTTTTTCGAAGCTGGTACAATTGGACTGCCTTTTCACAGCTTTCTCGTGCCGAGGTTTTTTGTGATCCACGCCGCGAGTTAGAATAATACATCACCGCTCTTCTCTTGATGGCAACCGTATATATACATATATAAATATTTTCTATTTGCTGCATTGTGAGCGAGGAAGGCGGACACATCTGACGTGTGCTGCACCGCCACCGTTTGAGCGCAATAGTGATAATAATAATAATCATCCGCCCCCTTCCTCAAAAAAAAAAGAGCGCAGATTTCTGAAAAGCTGTGTGTGTGTGTGTGTGTGTGTGACACGGTACATATGTTATTTTTTCCCTTTGTCACTTTATCGCGCTATATATATTGATTCTCCGATCTCGCTACGTCGTATGGTGCTCCTTCCACGCCAAAAAGGAAGGGGGAGGGACGGGCTCCGTCTCCGCCGTGCTATTTACAAACTTCTAATGTTGACTCTTCATCCAAAGTTGGGTGTGCTGCACTGCAGCAGAAGCAGCAGCAGCATAAAAAAAACACCTTCATTTTTTTCAGTGGCAACTGCATCACTTGCTTGGATCGCCGTAGCTGGGTTTGATGTCGGTGCAGCGCGGGAGAAACAACAACAGCGACTCTGTTTCTCATTCTCACACGGGTTCTTCCTTCCTGTAACAGGGGCGATGCTCGACTTTTTATACTTGCCGCTCCTCTCTCTCTCCCGTTCTCTCTCTGCTTTGGGTGCCCTATTGTCACTCTCGTGGAACCTCTGCCCCTCTGCACGTGGGGAATACTATCTGTCTGAAACGCTTACTTCAACTATCAAAAAACAAAATTCCAAGACACACGCACACACACGTACCCACACGCAGCTGTCGATCCCCTCCTCTTTTCTTTTCTCCTCTTTCTCTTCGCGACGTCGTCGTTCGTACTTCCACTGAAATTGTTTTTAGCACCATCCTAAAGAAAAACAACAAACAAACATGATCCGTGGCGCTATCGCGATCGGTACGGCTGCTTTCGTCCTCACGGCGCCGATGGTGGTGGCGATGGCGGCATGCAGGCGGGACGCGCGCGATAAACTCAAGGCGCACGCGCAGACACCCGCGAGCGGTCACGACAGCTAAAGCAAAGCGGTGCATTGACTCAGCGTTCACTGGCGCTTTCGCCTTCTTTTTTTAAAAAATCTTCTTTGTTTTCGAACCGTCTCCCTCTTCAAAGAAATAAGAGGCACGATCTGTTAACCTTTTTTCGGTCGACGCGCAGAGACCCCAAGTAACCGAGAACGGATCAAAGTGGTGGCAGAGAGAGAGGGAGAGAAAAGAGAAGAGTGCTTTTAGCTGCAGCGGTGAGAGTTCCGTTTCACGAACAAAGGTGAATTAATATACATTTTAATATATAGATACATATACAATCACAATTATAAACAAACCTATGTAGTACACGGAGGCCGAATTCGACTTGTACAGCCACATCAAAAATACCCTCGTTTGCTGTAAGGCAGATTGTTTCCATTAGCTAAGATAGGCCATTCTTTTATTGACAACATAGTGAGCAAATCCACTCGAGACAGAACTAGAGAAAAACAACAGCAACAACAGCGCCAGCACAAAAATAGCTTCGAAGAGAGAAACACCGTTTTTATGCTCTTCTACTGTCCTCCTTTCTTGTAGTATCAGCTGCTGCGGACGACTTTTCCTTCTTTTCCTTCTTTTCCTTTTTTTTTTCCTCCTTTGCAGTTATTTTGTTCTTGAAAGAAAATCAGAAACAACATTTTGAAGCGCAACGTGAAGGCGCTTGCTGCTCCTTTTGCTTCATGTCGTACCGTGCGAATCGTATCTAGCTTCGTCCTCTTTGCTATCAACACGGATCTGTGTCGTGGCTTCGCGCTTGTGCGAGCCATCGCCCGCCCCCTCCTCTCTCTCTCCCTCTTCCAATGAATAGGTGCATCGTTGCTTCTGTCGATGTTGTTCGTTTACTTCTCACCGCCTCGCTCTTCTCTTTTCCTCTCTTCTTCTCTTTTGTTAAATTCAACTCCCAAAGACGTACTCTATTTACGTCCTTACGCACGCACTTCTATCGAATCAACTCACCGCCGCTCTTCAAAGGCGATTCATCAGCAGATTACTATTTTCTTTTCTTCTTTTTTTTTTTGGAAGTTGACGAACCGCTTTTATCAAAACGAAATTACTTTTTCTAAAACAAGAATAAAAGGAGGAATCTTGATAGTAACGGATCCCCCTGTCGCTGGCAGCTCCCCTGCTGCAGGCTTTCTAAAAATTGTTGTTATTTCTCTTTTCGCTAGCCCTGTTCATCGTGGCCACCGCTGCTCCTTCTGCTCCTCCTTTTAGGCATCGAGGCAACCCAACAAAAACGTGTTTCATTTAGAAACGAGGAAGGGGAAGAAGAGATGAGCGAGGTGGACGTTGCAACTCCCGCTGCCCCGGTCATCCCAACCGGCACACCCAGCCGCCCGGGCCCATCTGTGCGCGAAGGCACCATCGCCATCACCGAGGCCTTCGGACCCAAGCGAGGGAACTACGTCTCCGCCGCGGAGTTGGCTGCACGGGAGCGGGCAAAGCTGTCAACTGAACTGCAGAACCCCGCTGCTGCACCCCATGTGCTTCTCCCCTCCGTTCGCGAATCGACCATTGCCATGACGGAGCAATACGGACCGAAGACGGCGAACCACGTCCCGGCAAGTGAGCTGCCCAAGTCGCAAACGGTCGTGCCGGTAGTGGACCGGCCCTCTCGTTATCCCGAAGGCCCCACTCAGAAGACGCCGACCGTGGCTGCCACTCCTGCTTCTGAAGTCCCTTCCTCCACCGCACCTGCGCCGGCCGTCGAAGAGGCTGTGATCACGGAGGCTGCAGAGCCAGCGGCGGCTCCAGAGGTGTCGAACGCACCGGCTACTAACGATGGTCTCCATAGTTCGGACGGCAAGCTGCCATCTGTCCGAGAAAGCACAATTGCGGCGACGGAGCAGAACGGGCCGAAGGTCGGCCACCACGTCCCACCCAGCGAGCTGCCAGCGGAGCAGACGGCCATTCCAGAAGTGGGGCGTCCATCTTCGCAGGTGCGTCACTCGACGGCCACCTCGCTGATGACGACGACGGTGGCGGCGGTGGCGGAGCCGCCCAGTGCGGTGCCCGTCGCGGAGACGGGGGTGCCGGAGTTGATGGTGCAGGATGCCGCCGGCCGCCTGCCGTCTACACGCGAGTCGACCATCGCCATGACGCAGAGGTACGGGCCGAAGCAGCCGAACCACGTTCCACCCAGCGGATTGAGCAAGCCTACCACTGCCACTCCCCCGGCTGCTGCGGCAGTGTCGATGGCAAAGCCCAGTGGACCGCTGGCGACGCCGGCACCGGCTCCTGTCGCACGCGTCAGGAGCGATCGTTGCCCGCACGCGGTGACTGTGCCCGCTGCGAAGGACGTGCAGCGCGCGGGCAGCGGCTCCCTCCGCGCCAAACCCATTCGGGAGTGGAGAGCGCAGGACGTGAAGCAGGCCGCGGCGCAGATGGCGGACAACAAGGTCTTCATGACGGCGCTGGCCGTCGGCGCCGCCGCCCTCACCGTCTTCTCCGTGTACAAGGGCGTCTCCCTGTACAACCACTACCGCCTCAATCAAAGCATCGCGGCGGTGGAACGGGAGCGGCCGACAGTGGTGCACCTCTACATCCACCGTCGCTCCCCGCTGGCGCCGAGTGTGTCGATGCCGTGTACGCGCGTGGAGACGCTGCTGCGACTGGCGCGTGTGCCGTACGAGGCGCACGTCATCTCTGACACCTCCGTCTCGCCGAACGGAGAGCTGCCTTTCATCGTCTTCAGCGGTCTGCGCATCGCTGAGCCGCTGGAGATCACAAATGCGCTCGCGCGCGAGCTGGACGCCAACCTTGACCGCGATCTCTCCCCGCAGGACCAGGCGACCGGCGTGGCGCTGCTGTCGGCGGTCCGCTACAGCCTCACGCGAGGCTACATGAGGTCTGTCCACGTGGACCGCCCCGACGTGATGAAACCGTACTACAGCGAGATGAACCGCACCCCGGACTGGGTGACGTGGTTTTCGCTGCGCTGTATGCAGCGGCAGCTGACGGATGTTAACGAGACGAGTGGTTACAGCCAGCTCTCATCGGAGCAGTACGTGCGCGAGCTGCTGCGCGACGTGCGCGCGATGGAGGCGCTGCTGGAGCACCACACCTACCTCTTCAGCAGCGACTACCCGTGCTCCTACGACTGCGCCTTGTATGCGTGGCTGCTGCCCGTCGTCGCGATGGAGGACGCCGCGGAGGTGAACGAGGCGTTTGCCTACATCGTGGAGAGCGAGCTGCTGACGAACTATGTGCGCCGCATGACGGAGCTCGCCTTCCCGGATCTGGACGAGTTGGTCTACGGACAGCTGGAGGAGGGAGACAGAGAAGAGGGAGGGGCACCGCAGCACCAGCAGCAGCAGCTTACGTCAGAGGAAGAGCGCTCCTCGTACTCGCGGGAGCAGTCGCGGTCGCAGACGTCGTCGCCGTCGGGGCGGCGGCCGCGGATGCGCTTGTCCGAGTCGCGGCGCCGCACGACAGAGCCCGGGGCGGCAGACGAGGACGGAGAGGCGGATCTGCAGACCCGACCCTCGCAGCGCGAGATGCGTCTGCCCGGAGAGCGCTGATTTGCACTGTTACCTTCATGCTCTTTTTCTGTGTTATGCACGTCCGCTTTTCTCCTCATTACGAAGCGCTCCTCACGGCTCACGTGCTTCATTGGTTTGTTTCCATATATATATATATATTTTTTTGTTAATAAGAATTAAGAAAATGTTTTGCTTGACTGCTTATAGAATTAGTGTAGCTAGTTATCCTTTTGAACTTAGTTTTTTGTTTTTTTTTCTGTTTCTTTCTCCCTTCTTTTAGGTCAGCAAAGGAAGTGTGATGCATAGCAACCGCAAAATCTGTTGATACAGGTAGAGTGGAAAGCCAACGGGATCTCCATACAAACAAAGAGTGCTTCGTCGGTGGCGATCTACCGTTCACTGCCACCACATCGTGCATTGAACCGCCTCCGGCACGATCCGAAGCTATTTTTCTTCTCTTTTTTTTTGCTGCAAATCACCTTTTGAAAGCAGCTTCATTTCTTTGTTATTTTCTCTCACTACCTTTCGTTTTGTGCCTTCGAAGACTATTTTGCTTGTTTTTTTTTGACATATAAATCTACTCAGTTATATTATTGTCTGCCCAGTTGCCTGACCACCGCTGCCTCTTCTCATCTGCTCTGGTTTGCAGATGATGATTAAAAAAATAATATATTCATCAAAACACGGCGTATAGCCACTACTGTTCTTTTTCTTCTTCCGTTGACATCCTGCTGCTTTGGACACGTGCTCTCTGCGCTTATATCGTTTTTTTCTACTTTGGCCTCTATGACCCTTATCTTTTTCCAATAGTACGTATAAGTGTTTGAAAGACGCGCGTGACGCGTGTGTGTGTGTGTGTGCGCGTGTGCGTGTCTTCGTCGTTTTCTTTAGAAGAGCATGATGGTAAATGTGATATGCACACTTTTTTTTCCCTTTTGAAATCTCCTTCAACTTCGCCAAAACGGATATATCTGTTTCTCTCTGTTATTGCATTTTTATTATATGTGCTGACTTTCGTTGTTACTTCAGTCAAAAAGGGATAACACCACCAAAATAAATTCTGCGTCTTTTCCTTTACCCGCTTGTTGCGCTGTTGCTGCTGATGTGGCCCTGAATGCCACGTGGCAGGAGGCACACGAGTGGGAGGGCAATCTCCCTTTCAGGGAGAAGTAATGAGAACAAGCGGAATGTGCTTGCGTGTGTGTCAGACGGTGCTCCTGTTGGTGAAGACGGTCGCGAGGCAGCAAGGCGCCTCATCGTGTCGACAAAACTTTTTTTTTCTGCCTTTCTACGGCTTTTGTCCTGTTTTTCTCTCTCTTCTCTTTCATAATAAAACACAACGCTTTTAGTCTTTGCTGGAACGCACCCGCGGGTATCTTTTCGAATACGAAGGATCGTAAACAGAAGGAGTTTCCCAAGTCTCTCTTCATCCACCCCTCTAAAACACACTGACACACACACACACACACACACTAATTCTATACAAATATGTCCGGCAACCAGCAGCAGATCAACGAGGCGGCCGCGGAGGCGATGCGCCGTGCTGACAACCCGCAGTCGGACGAGTATCCTGTCGAGGAACCTCGAGAAAAGTCGGAGTCGGAGAAGCAGTATGCCGAGGCAGCCGCGGAGGCGATGCGCCGTGCGGATGCTGCGTTCACCAAATATGATAACGATGAGCTGTGAGTTGTGGAGGAATGAGTTGGAGCCTCCCTCATCCTCTTGCGCACACAGCTTTTTTATATTCTTTCTTCCAGTCTGACCTACACTGTGATGACACTGCGTGGTGTCTGCTAAGAAGAAAAACGAAGGATCGATCCCTGTGCTAACGGCGTAATACACCGCCGTCCACAGACAGCACCGGCGGCGTGAGTTCGTTATATTTACGTGATTCTTTTCTCTTTATTCTCCGCTTTTTCAATTGTTTACTTCTAAAGTAGTTTCGTTGCTGCGACGTCATCCTATATTATCTTTTTTATATCTTTTTAACTTTGCCAATATTTACTGTTCCGCAAGCGTCGCAGATATGAGTGGGTTTCAACGGAATTGAAGGCACGCGTTATCTTGTCTGTTTTCCCTTTTCTCCTCTTCTCAAACGATAGTATATCCAGCGACGGGTTCTCCTTCCACCTCTTACGCTGAAAGCGATGAAGACGCCCTCGCGTGTGTCGTGCCCGTCATACCAGGTGACATTCGATGTTTTCAAGTCGTTATCCTTTGGACGAACGGAATCATCTCTTTCTTTTTGATTTTCTTTTTTTGGATGTTCCGCACCGCGCGCTCGACCACCAAAAAAAAGCCAAATAAATTTTGGCGTCGTCGTTGACGCGGTCACCTTTCCGCGTCTGGCCGCAGCAGAAGCGGCCCGACGAAGTCGTGAGGCGCCGCGTTCAATCGTATCGATATCTTTGTCGAAGGAGTGAGAGGGCGAATCGGCTGCCCAGCAAAGCGGTGCTCTCCATCTTCTGCATCGTCACCGATCGTAGAAGGTTTTCTGCTTTGCTACATTTTTTCTTTCATTCTTCTCGCACAGGCGGGTGCCTTCCACCTTCTACACACGAATCATCTTTATTAGGAATAGACCTCCACCCCCCTCTCTTTCTCTGCCTTTTACTGTTGTTTGCTCCGTAGTCTACCTTCTTGTAGCTTTGCTCAAAACCCATCCACACACACACACACACACAGAAACAGTGAAGTAAGGAGTGATGCTCAACAGTGCCGCTGCGTCACCTTCGTCCACCGGGGCGTGCGTTCTCGCCCCCGGGGCGGCCGCACAGCCCATCTTCTCCATTGAGGAGTTCTACCCAGTTTTCTTCTCTGCGTGGGAGCGCGAGACGGGCCAGTGCAGTATCTGCTGCAATCAGGTAGAGGGTCCCTGCGTCGTGTGCCAGAGCAACGCCGAGGTCACGTCGGCGGAGTGCGGCATCACATGGGGAGACTGCGGACATGCCTTTCACACCCACTGCATTGAGAAGTGGCTCAAGACACGGCGGGTGTGCCCGCTAGACAACAAGGCATGGATCGACCGCGCCGACTGGAACAGCTCCGCCACGGTGTAAGACGCGCCGACAACTCCGCAGAACAGCAGCTCCCGTGTCCCTCCTTTCATATATATATGTTTTTGCCGCGCTTCTTTTCCTCAGTCGTTGTTGTTTCTGATGGGTGCAGCATCGACTTGTTTTTGGTCGTTTTGCTGCCTCGACAGCTGTAGCGAAGGAGAAGGAGAAGGAGAAGGAGAAGGACCACTGCACATACGTCGTTTTTATAGTCGTGTCCGCACCGCAATGTTTTGTGTTTCTTTTTTCTTCCTCTGCATTCTGCCACCGCGCTCATGAGCGCGTATTATTATTATTATTGTTATTATATCAAACCTCGTCTAACACACTCACACACACACACACACACTCAAATACACATGACAGTGCACGTTACTACCGCAACTCACGAATCGGAGTAGTCCACCTCTACTAGAAAACTTAAGAAAGGCTGCTTGTATGAAACGGGGAATGATGCGGTTTCTTTTAAGAAAGAAAAGAAGGTTGAAATGGGGCTCCCCCCCCCTGCCTTGCCACTGTCTTCTCTCGTTGCTTCTCTCGTTCTTCGCCTCTCCTTGCCGTCTAAGTGATGTTTGGGAGGATTCGGCCACCATTTGCTTCCCTCAGCAAGTCTGTTTGTCTCACCGTGTTTTTAAGGCATTTTTTCTGTGGAGTATTCGCTGCCACCTTTGCTGTGAAATACAGTTGAGAGAGAACCACAGCCCTCTCCCCTTCTTGTTGTGGCTGCTGTAGTAGTCAAACAGCACTCGTTGTAGTGGGAGCCGCAGCGCGCGTGCACACACACCCACCAAATACCCTGCTGCTGATAAACAACAGCAACTGCTAATGCATCTGCCGAACTTTAAATTTCTGTCTGACCGCCACTCTGGTTCAGCGGAACCGGCGGCGGATGCGTCGTCGTACACCGCCTTCATTCACAAGGCGTTCGGGGCGACGAAGGAGAAGTTAAAGCTGCTAAAACCACTCCAACGACAGATCACCATCGGCGCCGCAGCCGTGGTCGGCGTCGTCGCGGCCTACAAAGCGGCGTCCCATGTGCACAAGTTAGTGCAGCGTCGACGCCGCCGGCAGCTGTTGCGGCAGTGCGAGCAGGACGCGGAGCTGCACGTCTTCATCCTTCCTCGCTCGCCGTGGTCGCCGTCGCTGTCGCCGGCCTGCACACGGGTCGAGGCGTACCTCCGCGCCAATGGCATCCCGTACAAGGCCATCGAGACGCTCGACGCGACGGGGGCACCGAGCGGGGAGCTGCCCTTCCTTGTGTACAAGCACGCCCGCATGGACCAACTCCCGCGCATTTTTGAGTTCCTCAGCAGCGAGTTCAGCGTCTCGATCGACGACGCGTTAACGCGCGAGGAGCGTGCGATTGGCGCCGCCCTGCGCCGCACGCTGGAGTACAGCATGGAACGGTTTCTCTACCGCACTGTCTTCATCGACCACCCCACGCTCGCCGTGACGCACATCGCACGTGCGCTGCACATTTCACACCTTCGCGCGCGGTTGGCGGTGCGGCAGTACGCGCGGAAGCTGAACTCGCAGCTCGCCATCACCGCCTACGGCGCTCTCGTCAGCGAGCAGTACGAGAACGAGTTTCTGCTCGACTGCGAGGCGCTCGAGGTGCAGATCGGCGACAAGCAATTTCTCTTCAGCAATGCGGAGGTGACGAGCTACGACTGCGCCGTGTATGCGCTGCTCGTGCCCTTCGCGTACATGGGCAAGTACACGGCGCTGAGCACGGCGTATATGGCGGTGGCAAACAGCCCGGTGCTGATGGGCTACGTCGCTCGAATGACGAAGCGCTTGTTTGCGGATGTGGCCGCGCAGTTCGATGCGGCGGCTACGACGTGTGCGACGTCATCCGCGACGTCTGCGTCGCTGTCTTCGGGGGAGGAAGAGGGCGGTGATGGTGGGTCGTGTGCGGACTCGGAGGAGCTGCACCGCGGCCTGGAGGTGTCGGATGAGGAAACAAAGCAGCCGGAGAAGACAGTGAAGAAGGAGGAGGTGCAGCCGGAGGCGGCTAGGAGCGCAACACCGACAAAGGCAGCCGCAACGACAGGGAAGAGGAAGAAGCCGTCCCCGAAGGCAGCGAAAGCAAAGAAGGCGCCGGCTAGTACACCGCCACGGAAGGGGAAACCTGCTGGGGCTTCTCCAAAGAAACCGTAGGGCGGTGTAGTTCGACGGCGAGATAGGAAAGCTGCTGCTGACGTGTGGCGACTCGTTTCCTCCTCCCGACGCTAGCGTAACTCCTTGCGCTTTTTCTTCCTCCCTCTTTGCTAGAGTAATCTCGTTGCGCTTATGATGATCATTATCAGCAAGTCTCTCCGGCGTGTGCGTTTTCTATTTCATCTTCCCTTTCGCGCTTTGACGTCTTGGTTTCACAAAAGGTATTTTTGTAAAGTGTTCTGCGTGTTCACTACAACACGAAGGAGGACAGCGGTTTTTGTATTTCCGCTGAGGGGCGGATGCAGTGGGACTCACTTGCTATATATATATATGTGTGTATTTTCCCCCGATCAGCGCTGCCTTTCAGCTCCGTGCTTCTCTGCAACCATAACGTATATATACATATATATATATCTACTACGTCGCGGTATCATTGATATGCCCTCATGCAACCCCGGGCCATTCTCCATGGGTTCAACGCCACTTTACTCGTATGCTTGCCTTGCGAGTACGAATCTACTGCGCAGTGCCTGTGCGTGATGGCGACCAGTGCGGAGGCTTTGAGACGAAAGGGAACGACGCTTTCTGGACTATTCAAATTCAGAGGACTTCATAAGCAAAAAAAAAAAGTACTCTTAAGAAACAGCAAAACCGTGAACCTTCACTTTACTGCGCCGTCGGTGCCTCTTTCCCTGATCTTCCTCCTAATTATCGCCTTTTCTCTCTCTTTCTCTTCTGCTGACTGTGCGCATCACATTTTTTGAATACATTTGAAGCGCGTTGTCCTTGGCAACTCACTCATTGGATTCATATACACGCATCCGTCACTCCTTCACCTCGTTTGTTTTTCTTTTTTTTGCTTCTTTCTCCGTTGAATCTGCCTAAACGAAAGCATTCACTGCGGCAGCTTTTCGTGAAGTGTGCACACGAGATAAATATTTTCCAAACCTTAAAAGCAAAAGGCGTAAATACACGATTTAAAGGAGACGTCTCCCAAAGCGGACTCGAACATACTCCGCAGTGCCCTGTGTGTTCTTCTGCTCCCTCCTCCTCTTTCTTTGTCGAGCGAGTTTTGGAGTTTTTATTTGTTTCCTTCTGTCTCGGTTTGCGTGTGTCCATTCCGTGAGGTGTTATCTTCCTTCTCTTGCTCTTGCTGCGAAACAACAACAAAAGGCAAGCCGTACACCCGCTTTCCTTTCCCCGTTGTTTTTCTTTCTTTGGCTTTCTTTCTGCCCTCACAGGCGCTTGGATCTCGCTCAACGGCCAAAGAGGAAAAGGAAGAGAACGAAAGGTTTCTAAGCAAAGCCCCGAGGTGGCTTCTATCACCGCCGTTTATTATTATTATTATAAACCGTTATTATTTTCTTATTGCCTATTCATTTTTATTTCTTCCTCATCGCGATATTCGCCTCCTTTCTTTTGATCTCTCAAGGTACATTCGCTCTTCGCAGGATTATCAACAAAATAGAGAAAAAAAAAGAAAACGTTAGTAGCGGCCCCAACGCACACAGTAGGAACTGAGAAGGATTAAATATATATATTCATTTATTTTTTGCTTAACACAATTACCCCCCTTTTCTCTCTTTTCATTGATTTCTTCCTGGTGCTTTGTCCGCGTTTGACTTGCTGCTCTTCACGGCAAAGCACAAACACCACCAACAACGATCAGCAGAGCGGCTCGTGCAAAACAAATGAATGTCTCAGCTGACGCGGGTGGAGAGCTGAAGGTGTCGAAGTACGTTCTTGTTGCAGGAGTGCTCGGCCTTACCGCCATCAAGATCGTCTCGGCTGGCTTCCACAACTACCAACTGTATGAGGTGGACCGCTTAGTGAGTCACATCTCTCGCCATGCCGAGGCGGAGAACAAGCGGAGGCAGGCGCAGCGCTCGTCAACGCCGCGACCGGCGACGCCAACGGTGAACGCGCTGTCTTCGGACGCTTCACGGCCCCCTTCCCTTCGCGGTGACGAGAAGAACGCAGCAGCTCCAACGACGGCTGCTGCTGCTGCTGCCAGGCCCGGCTCCATCTTCCTTCACTCCGCTGCGCCGGAGACGTATGTGCTGCCTTCCCGACTAAATGGAGGGGTCGGTGCGGCGGAGGAGCGTGCAAAAGACCTCTCACTCGATGACAGGGAGAGCACTGTGGACGTGAGTGCCTGCTCCCACGGCTTAAGCAGCGTCGCCCGTGGTAAGACAGCTTCCAAGAACACGTCTCAGCCCGCCCTATCACCACTCCCACCGCCGGTGATCACTTCACCTCACCCTACCCCGCAACGCAACTCGGTTGCCCGCGCGTCTCTGCAGCCACTGCGGCGCAGCAATAGCGGTATCTCCATCACGTCGGTGCATCTCGTCGGTGGAGAGCCGGCGCAGTCTACGTCGCATCTCGTCTCTCAGCTACTCATGGCCGGGGCGCGGCCGTGCTCATCTCCGTACCCTGCTGCTGCTGCAGGTGCGTCGTTTTCCGGTTGTAACTCGCTTTCATCCGCGACGGGCAACTCCTTCTCCGTAGTGGACCGGGGTGTGGCGGAGGCCTCGACGTCGCACCGCGAACCCCTCGCCCTCCCCAGCGGCATACACGAGGGCGGAGGTAATTATGGCAACGGTGCTGGGATGGGTGAGGGCGTGGTGAATGAGATGGAACCGCACGGCAGCGCCAACGGCGACCTCCTCATGCCGCCCGCACCGGTGATTATCTTCGAAGACGCCGTACCGGCGGAGATAACGGAGGGGACGCCGAAGCTCACCGAGTTTGCCTTGCCGACTGTAGGCGAGGTGGCAGCAGCAGCAGCAGAGCCGCAGGACGCAGAGGCAGGGAGGGACGAAGAGGAGGAAGAGGAAGAGGAAGTGGGGGACAGCCCTTTACCTTACTTCGCCTTCACCACCACGTCCGTCCACATGGCCCCGTCAGATGCAGCGGACGCGGTGGCCAACCACAACCGCAGCAACAACCACACGGACGCCACGGCGCCGTTTCTTGCCGCCACGGCGCCACCGTCGTTTCATACCGGCTCAAACAATGCGAACAGCAGCAAGGACAATGACAGCAGCACCGGCCTGCCGCGCGCCTCCGTGCCCGCACCTTCCATGAACGCGACCGACCGTAACACCTCCCCTCGGATGGCGGACGGCGGCACGAGCGGCCGCTCCATGTCGCTCGCCTCAGCGGCCTCCTCGGCGAGCCTCGCACGACCGGTGGTGCACTTCTTCATCCAACCGCGCTGGGCCCTCGCCCCGTCTCTGTCGCCGACCTGCACCAAGTGGGAAGCCTTTCTCCGCCTGCACCGCATCTCGTATGTCGTGCATGAGGTACACGTGCTGCGCAGCGATCAGCCGCAGGCGCAGAGCACCGACGTGCCGCAGCAGATCCAAGACGTCGTGGACCGGCAGCAGCACGACGGACGCCACGGCGGTGACGATGACGAAGACACGGCAGCGGTGGCAGAGGCGCGTGCGTTTGCAAACGTGCTGACGGAGACGGGCGCGACACATAAAATGTGGGGGCGGGTGCGGGCGGAGCTGCACCGCGTCCTCCCTGCTGGCCTTCTGCCAGGCGACCCCCGCACGCAGTACTCCCTGCCTTTCATCATGGTCGGCGGAACAGTGCTAAAAGGTTCCTTCAACGAGGTGATGGCCGAGCTCACACGCCGCGGTCTCGTACGTTCGCTACGCCAGGCGAGGAGAGACGGAGGTGATGGGGGTGCGGGCACCGTGGCCGCCGGCTCGTCTTCGCCGTACTCACCAGAAGAACAGCTCGCCATTGGCCAGGCCGTCGAGCGCACCGCGGAGTACACGCTTCGTCTCCTCTACGAGGTGGGGTTGCTGTTGGAGGGCAGCGCCGTCTTCAGCCACTACGCGGCGCAGCTGTGGAGCGGCCACCGGTACTGGGACCTCTTCCAAGTTCGCCGCTGGTTCGTGTACGCGTGGCTGGCCATCCCGTTCCTATCGGCGTTGAAGGCAGACGTGTCGAAGCGGTTGCTGGCGCAGGAGCTCGGCGGGCTGACGCGCGAGCAGCTGTACCGGAGCCTGCAGAGCGATCTCGTGTCGCTGGAGCAACTCCTCGTGTCCTCCGCCGAGACAATGCTCGACCGTCGCGACACCGAGGGAAAGGAGAAGGAGAAGGAGGACAAAGCTACGGAGGTGCACTTCCTGCTGGGGCGCGAGCCCGGCCCGCAGGACTGTGCCCTCTACGCCTACCTCCTCCCGATCCTGCGGCTCACCCCACGCGACATCGCGCACATCCACAACCCCAACTTCGCGTACATCTACGACAGCCGCATTTTTCGAAGCTTTGTGGACCGCATGTCCCGCGAAGCCTTCCCCGACCTCGATGTTCTGCTGAACCCTCCCCGTCGGCCGAGTTTTTCCATGTCGCTGTCGAACGCCGCCTGGGAGTACATGGAAGACCGCGCCACTCCAGGGTTGGTCGCCATGTGCATGCATGTGAACCAGTGGAACGCGTCGATGTACCGCTTGATGTGTCCGTGCCGTGTGGCATTGCAACGCTGCCTCGAGCAGGCGCTGAAGTCGAAGCCGGTGGAACTCGTCCGTCGTCTGCTGCGACGCGTGATCGCGAGTGGCCAGCGACTGGTTGCCGATCGTCATCGTCGTGTCGCTTCGTCCGCCGACACCACCGTCGCGCAGGATGGAGAGCACGTCGGCGGCGCGCCGGTGCGAGTGCGAGACACGGCTGGCGCGGTGGAAGGCGCGGCGATGGGTGTGCCGCAGCCCACCGTACACATGGACAGCAGCACGCAGGTGACGGGAAGTCTGGACGAGCTCGTGCTATTGCAAGATGTCGACGCCCCAGTCGTCGTAGCTACCGTTACCGAGAAGAAGTCAGAAGAAGAGGCGGCGGCTGTGGTTTCGTTGCCTGCGCCTGTCGCTGCTGTGCTAACACGGAAAGGCACGGCGGAGAAGGAAGGAAACGCGAAGGAGGAAGCCGTTGAAACGGAAGTGGGATGTCCGCGTGACACCGACGAGGGCAGGAAGACGGATGCGGATGCTGCTGCTCAGACAAGACCAGCGGCACCAGCCGTGGCGACGACCGAGGATGACGGACCCGCCGTCTCCACCGGTGCCACACGATCGCTCGTATCGCCCCGCAGCTTGGAGATCGCTGCCTTGACCGGCGAAGGAAACGAAATAAAGACCGTAGAGACGGAGCAGCAAGCGGCAAGGCCTGCCGCGGCGTCTGTCCCTTCACCGCCGTCTCCACGGGCTCCACCAGCGTCAGCAGCACCGCAGCGACACCAATCCCCCCAGCCACTTGTACAGGCATCTCCCCTCTCTCCCCGTGTCGTTCACGCATGCCTCTTCACTGGTTCAGCGCGCCACAACGCTCGGCGCGTACGCGGCTCGAACTCGCCCGCGCGCAACCCCCGCAGCGGCAGAGACACCGCCGGCAGCACCGCGACGCTGCTCGAGAGGGGGGCCGCCCCGAGTCCGCGGAGAAGTGGAGGCAGCGCAGCGGTCACCTCAGCGAGCGACGCGGTCGGCCCGCGCTTTGCGGTGCAGCGCGCCTCGGGGACTGGAACCATCTCCCGCTCGCTCGGCTCGACCGTTGGACCGGGTTCCGCAGCACCGGCTGGACCGCCGCAGCACTCGTCAGGTCCATCGCTCGACTCTCTCATGGCCAGCGATGCTGCTGCCGCTGCTACCACCCGCCCGACCACCGCGAAGACAAGCGAGCTGGCCACCCATTCCTCCAACAGCGTCGCCAGTCAGCTGCGTGTGCCGAGGCGGGTGATCACGACACGGGCAGCCAGCGCACGCCCCACCACGGTCAGGGATGACTCCGCTTCCGATTCGTCGTCGAGCGCGGGGGAGGCGGCAAGCTCGATGCGGGAGTCTCGTGTCACCGCTATACATGCCGCCTCCGTCGCGCGTTCCTCCACCTCCGGCACTCCTGAGCGGGAGCGCCGCCCGTCGGGCCTCACGCCGGGACTCTTCGCCACCGTGGTGCACGGCAAGGTGTACGTGAAGGACGACCTGGAGCACCCATCCTGGCGCGCTGAGGAGCCGCACCGTCGGTCGGCGTCGGTGGTGTCCGGGAGCAGGTCAGGTCGGGCCTCACCGACGCTGCTCTCGCGGCGCGGGTCACTGGCGGACTCGAACGGCCGCGACGGCGTTCGCAGCCCGGTCGCGACGGCGTTTGGCCGCACCGTGACGCCAATTCGAAAGTTGCGGCCCTCTCCTGGCGGGCGCCCCAGCCTTTGAAAAGAGCGAGAAGGAGCGCAATGCGATGGAAGGAACGTGGAAGCGCCTTCTTTTCAGAGTTTCCCTTTTACTCCACCTTCCTTTTCTTCCTGTCGTGTCGATCATGCTGGCTTCGCGAAGCTGCGCTCCTTTGGCTTTCTGCACGTTTGTTGTGTGCCACGCACGTGCGATTTCTTTCCCTTGCTCCTTTACCCTTTTCTCTTGCCTGCGGTCGATGTCCGACACCCGCGTACACCCCGCAGCGGACCATCATATTGACGCCGTGTGACCTGCTTTTACTAACTTAAAAAAAAAAAGAGTTTCTCTGCCTTCTTTCTGTTGTTGTCGATCGCTTCGTTTGGTGGGTTACTTCACATGAGCAACGAAACAAGCAGCAAGCAAAGGGAATTGATCCACTCCTCTTCCCCCCTCCCCTCCTTGCCACGGTGCACCGTAAAGCTCGGATGCGCTCTCCTGAAACGAACCCTTTTTTTTTGTTTTGAATGCACAACTTCCTTCTGAGAGTGACGCGCGGTGCGAGAACTCGAAAACCGCGTGCGTCTCTCTGTGTGTGGTACGTGCTTCCATGAATCACGCCGAATCCCCTTGCCCCCCTTTCTCTATCGTTGTCCTTCTCCTTATGAATGATTCTGCGAAACTCCCTTCTCGCCTCTCCCTTCTCCTCTCCCCTCTCAATCCACCCCCCACGTACGTTCAACGCTCTCTTTCGCCTTCGCGCGCGTCCTCGCTCACGCACAGCAACGTTAGCAGTCTTCTTCAGGAGAATAAAAAAAAAAAACAAATATATATGTTCAGTAGGAATAGTTAGACCTTCGCCAAAAACAAAAACCCCAAAGTAGCACACAGAAAGAAAGCACCTCAACAGCACTTAAGAGAGAAAAAGTAAAATAAAATGCTTCGTCGCACCTTCGCGCGTCTCGCACTTAGCCGCGCCTACCCGGTCATCGATCACACCTATGACTGCGTCGTGGTAGGCGCGGGTGGCTCCGGCCTCCGTGCGGCGATGGGCGTCGCCGCCTCTGGCTACGATGTGGCCTGCATTTCGAAGCTCTATCCTTCCCGCTCGCACACCATCGCGGCGCAGGGCGGCATCAACGCTGCCCTCGCGAACTGCGAGGAGGACGACTGGCGCTGGCACGTGTACGACACCGTGAAAGGCTCCGACTGGCTCGGCGATCAGGACGCGATTCAGTACATGTGCCAGGAGGCCCCCTGCGTGGTCTCCGAGCTGGAGAGCATGGGTCTGCCGTTCCTCCGCACAAAGGACGGCTTTATTTACCAGCGCGCCTTCGGTGGTCAGTCGATTCACTTCGGTGGTAAGCAGGCCCGCCGCACGTGCGCCGCTTCGGATCGCACGGGCCATGCCATGTTGCACACCCTGTACGGGCAGTCCTTTCAGTACGGCGTGAACTTCTACAACGAGTACTACTGCCTGGACCTGATTATGGAGGACGGCTGCTGTCGAGGTGTGATGGCGATGAGCATCGACGACGGCACGATCCACCGCTTCAAATCCAAGTACACCGTGCTATGCACTGGCGGCTACGGTCGTGTGTACTTCACCACGACGAGCGCGAAGAGCTGCACGGGTGATGGGACGGCCATGGTAGCCCGTGCCGGCCTCCCTGCGGAGGATATGGAGTTTGTGCAGTTCCACCCCACTGGTATCTACGGCCCTGGCGTGCTCATCACGGAGGGCGCTCGCGGAGAGGGCGGCTACTTGATCAACAGCGAAGGGGAGCGCTTTATGGAGCGCTACGCGCCGAAGGCGAAGGACCTCGCCTCGCGCGATGTCGTCTCGCGTGCGATTACGATGGAGATTCTCGCCGGTCGTGGCTGCGGCGCTAAGAAGGATCACGTGATGCTGCAACTGCACCACCTCGACGCCGCCACGCTGCGCAAGAAGCTGCCGGGCATCTCGGAGAGCGCGCACATTTTTGCCGGCGTCGACGTCACGAAGGAGCCGATCCCGATTGTGCCGACGGTGCATTACTCGATGGGCGGCGTGCCGACACTGTGGACGGGCGAGGTGATCAGCCCGCGCAACGGGGACGACAACGCCATTGTGCCGGGGCTGCTGGCGGCGGGGGAGTGTGCGTGCGCCAGCGTGCACGGCGCCAACCGCCTCGGGGCGAACTCGCTGCTCGACATCGTCGTCTTCGGTAAGTCGTGCGCCAACACGATCATTTTCAACCTGACGAAGGAGGGTCGTAAGCAGCCGGACCTGCGGCCGGACGCTGGTGAGGCGTCCATCGCTGATTTGGACCGCATCCTGACGAACACGGGCGACATTCCGATTGCGCGCATCCGCGAGCGCATGAAGGAGACCATGGCGCTCTACGCCGCCGTCTTCCGCACGGAGGAAAGCATGCAGACCGGCAAGAAGATAATCGAGGAGTGCTACCGCGATTTCTCGCACGCGTTGGTGCACGACAAGTCGCCGGTATGGAACAGCAACCTCATCGAGGCGTTGGAGCTGCGCAACCTGCTCACGAACGCGATGATGACGATCAGCGGCGCGGTGGTGCGCAAGGAGAGCCGCGGCGCACACGCCCGTGACGATTTCCCCGAGCGTGATGATCACCACTGGATGAAGCACACACTGGCCTACCTCGACGACACGAACGGCAAGATAAGCCTGGCGTACCGCCCGGTGCACATGGAGATGTTGACGAACGAGGTGGACACCTTCCCGCCGGCGAAGCGGGTGTACTAGACGAAAGAAGAAGACGAGACATAAAAAGAAAAACAAAAGGAAATTTTCGGCCGTGAAAGCGAGTGACGGATGTGGCGCCTTACGCTGTAGGTTTTTTTTTTGGCTGAATTTTCTTCTTCTTAGCTTTGGATGTGGTGTCAGTTGTGATGGACGGAGAGGTGTGCAAGGAGAAACACAAGATGCGCTCTTCTTTTTTATATCTCCTTCCCCTGCTCTGCTCTCTATGGGTGCTTGTTGGTTTCTCTTTTTTTCCACCTGGGAAGTACGTATGCAAAGCTCGAGCGTTTCTGTGTCTCTGTGTATGTGTGTGCCACCCCCCGCTTCCCTTCTCTCGCTGAGCGGGAGAGAGAGGAAAGGGTGGCAGTTAGTTAGCAATTGATTGTTTTTTTCCCTTTATTGCCTTTTATTTTTCGTCACCTTAGCAACTTACCAAAAACTTTTTGTTTTGAAAGTACCCTTCTTTTTCCTTTTCTTTTAAATATTTGAGGCAAGCGCAGTTCACAAAGGCGCGAACGTGTCCCCGCCACCCCACACTCCCCACCCCCGATAGGAGTGCGAAGGCTAGCGCTCAACTTCTTGGGCTGTCCTTTCATCATCGCGATCCGCCGCGGTGCGTTTTTTTTCGCGCGTTCGTCTTCTTCGTCTTCCGTCCCGAGCGTCTGGCGTCGCTCGTCTGCTCCGCAGTTTAGAGCGCCTACCTACCTAGCGATTTTTCTTCAAACGATTTATGCTTACGTGCATACACACACACACACACACACATACATTTAAGTACAATACAAAGAACAACAAAAAAAGAAATATAGGCAAATAGTTGTATTCATGCCCAGTGAGCGCTGTACCTTGTAGAGATCTATGACAGGGAGCGCCACCTTGTGCATCATGGCGCGTTGGCGAAGTCGTGCGATAGAGGATCTGGAATGTTCGTGTGTGTGAGAGAGACAGAGGCTGCTTGCCGTTGTTTTGTACTCGCCGCTAATGGTGCTGCAATCATCGCTGCGGAGGACCTTCATGCGTGGGGCGTCCACGCTTCACCTCACAAAAATCGCCGTTATTGTTCTACATGGCGCTCACGTGTGTTCGACGGACTGACTTTCGCTGCTTTCTCTTCCTTTATTTCTTACAATTGCTGTGTCCTCCATTTCTTTTGTTTCTTTGCCAAAAATTCTCCCACCTCGCCTTCTTCGTACGTTCCCTTTTTTGTTTTTGCACGCCCATCACGCTGGTCACCTCTTTCCATCATTTAAACCAGCACCTAAAGCGCTTGAAGTCCTTCTCTTTCATTTCCTTGTCTCTGGTGTGTTCTTCTTTTGTTTCTTTTTCTTTCTTCATTTCTTTAGTTTCGCTATTGATTTCAGCCTTCCACGCTGCGAAGTACGAACTCCTCACTGGGGTGTTACTCCGCCGTCTCGTTCAAGTGTACCTTCCCTTTTCATTTTTTTTCTCGCTCGCTCTCTCCCGCACTTTTCGCACGGGAGCCCTTCTGCAGTCTCGCCGTACAGTCGAGTGTATACATATATATATATAAAGGATCTCTCCCTCTCTCCCTCTCTCTTTAAACGTGGGCCGCGCACCCGAACCCTACTCGTGCGTTGTGTGTCACTTGCCGGTTTCTTCCTTCGATTCTCTGACAAAAAAAAAACCCACAAAAAAAAACAAAAACCCATAAATTTAGACTTGAAGGGCAAATCAGCGCATCCCCTTCCTTCTCTTCTGAAAAAAAAATCTTCGCTTTAGTTAGATTGCCTCCGCATACGCCATTTTCCTTTGCTGGTAGTCACTGCCTTTGCAGCCTCAAGTGGAAATCCGAAGACGAAGCACTAAAGAAGGTGTGCTTGCCGATACACGTATTTCTCACTGCACGTAAGAAAACGTTGTCACAGCGCACAGCCATGTCGCTCGACGTTCGCAGCGGCTTTTCCAACCGCACCCTCTTCGTGACGGGTGGCACGGGCTTCGTCGGCAAGGTGTTGCTCTACAAGTTGCTGAAGGAGACTCCCGATGTGAAGCGGGTGTATTTGCTCATGCGCGGCAAGCGCTCCCGTCGCCTGAAGAAGTACCTCAATGCGCAGGAGCGGCTGGACATGGAGGTGCTCGGCTCGCCGTGCTTTGAGCCACTGCGGCAGCAACTCGGAGATGCGAAATGGCGCGAGTTGTGCCAGAAGATGAAGGCGATGGAGGGCGACATCACGTTCGACCACATTGGCCTGTCGGAGCAGAACCGCGCCACTCTGGCGAGCGAGGCGAACTTCATCGTGCACCTCGCCGCCACCGTGAACTTCAACGAGCGGCTGGACCTGGCGGTGCAGATGAACACCCTCGGTGGGCTGCGCGTGCTGGCCTTGGCGAAGACGTGCCGCCACCTCGAGGCGATGGTGCATGTCTCCACGTGCTACGTCAACTACCGCCGCTACGGCCACGACCAGGTGAACGAGGAGCGGCTGTACCCGCTCGAGTTTGACCCGGAGGATATGTGCAAGCGTGTGCTCGCGATGAGCGAGGGGGAGATTAAGACAGAGGCGGCGAAGCTGCTCAAGTCACTGAAGTTCCCCAACACGTACACCTTCACCAAGTGCATTGGCGAGCAGCTCGTGTACAAGTACAAGGAGCACGTGCCAGTGGTGGTGGTCCGGCCGTCGATCATCGGCTGCAGCCTGCGGGACCCCTTTCCGGGCTGGGCGGACGCGCTGACGGCGGCGGGCGGGCTGCTGCTCACCGTCTCCCTCGGCGTCGTGCGCGAGGTGCTCGTGAACCGGGACATGATCGCGGATGTGGTGCCGGTGGATCAGGTCGTCAACGTCGTCCTCAAGGCACTGTTCAAGACGCAGCAGCACTACAAGGCACGCCGCCTGCGCGAGGCCGCAGTGGAAGGGGCACAGCCCAGCGCTCCTGCTGTGGCTGCTGTGGCTGCCAAAGCGTCGACGAAGGCGGTGTTGCCCGTGAGCGCGGAGGCACTGACCGTCACGGCGGACGCGAAGTCAGGCGCTGGTGCCGGCAACGTCGAGACGACGCACGCGACGACCACCACCGCTGAGGCCGAGGGCGACCTCGCAGAAGCCCGCGCCACGGAGGAGTTGACCACGGAGGCGGATGAGGGTCTGCCCTTCATCTACCAGGCCAGCACCACGGGCTCAGGGAACACGACAACGTGGGGCCGTGTCGAGGCCGCCTTGGAGGACTTCATGCGCGGCAAGCGCCATCCCAAGTCCCTCTCACAGATGAACCTGACCATGACCACCAGCGTCCCCTACTACCAGCTCCGCTACTACGCCCTGCGCTACATGCCCTTCCTGCTGATTAAGGCAGCCTTCAAGCTGCCTGCGCCGATCGGCTCGCCGAAGAAGCAGGAGCTGGTGAACAGGCTTGGCCGCGCCGTGCGCCGCGCTGATCTGCTGACGTGGGAGTTCATTGACTTCACCCTGCATGAGTGGGTGTACGCCAACACGAACTCACGTCACCTCGACGACGGACTGAATGAGTACAGCCGCCAGTGCTACAGCTTCGACCCCTACGCGATCAACTGGTACGCCTACACGCACCTGTACACCTACGGCATGTTCAAGTACATCCTGCGTGAGGTGGGCGACTTCAAGCCGCCGAAGCTGCCTCCGTCCGCCACGGAGGTGTTTGAGCGTGCCTCCTCCTTGTAAACTGTGTGTCCTCTTTTTTTCTATTTATAATTAGAAAGCAAGACATGACGGGATGGTGGGGCCCCCACGATGTTCTTCCGAAATATTTCCCAACACGAAAGTGCGTTGGTTGTGCTGATGGACGAGGAGCGACAGGAAGC